ATCCGCGCTCTGCAGCACAACGTTGGCAGGAAATGCAACAGGTTCGCTGGTTGCTGGAGGAAGGACAGGAGAAACGCGGACCAGGCAGATTGGATGCTTCTATTGCCAAGCGCCACCATCCAGGCCGGGACGATGATGACAACATGGGCGCTGCTGTGTAGTAATTCCCTGTAGATTTTATGCACTGTCAGCTATTTACGTTTGTTTTTATCATTCTCTAGCTGTCACTGTTCTATATCAAGCAGCGTCGTTTGGTTAACGGAAATATTCTTCCGCTATTTTGAAATTACTATGTACAGATCTCTAGTTTTAGTTCCAAGAATCAGCTGTTTAGAATATTAGGAATAGCATTTTTAGCTGTTTACGATACTGTTTTCACTTACTGTTGATGATGCAAGGGGATTAAAAGATGGTGTTTTGTCGCTGGCCAATAACTCGTATGGTTAAATAATAAATCTTATCCTCGCTAGAAGCTGCACAAAATTTCATGGAAATACCATGGAATAATTCAAATCCACAAGCTTTTCTAAATTTAGCGGAAAACCTCACTTTTTCACGCTTTAACATGTAGCAGTTGGTAGTCGCTGTATCAGCCGGCCGTATGTCGCCAAATGTTAGGGCAGTCGCAGTTTGGGGCGTACAGCTGTTTCCGGTTGCTGCAGAGCAGTGCGTCAGCACTTTTTCATGTTCGGACTTGTAGCCTTACATCTTCTATCATTTTTATTTTCAATCGTAAATCTCCTCTCCTCTGGTCTAAATTTCTCCTCTTTCTCAGAATGGAGATGGAATTTTACAAATCTGAGCGCGGGCGCATGATTTGCGCAGAGCAAGATGAGAAGAAGCGCCGTAAGTTTGTCAAGTTCGCTGATACTGTTGCGTATGTCGTGGCAAACCAGGAACATATTGAGAAGTTTGTTTACTTTTGGCGTTCCTTGGTTGCTCCTTATACTTCTATCACGGAGTTGTGTAAGCTCTCTAACTCCAAAATTATGGCCTTAAATTTTGTAGAACCTGAGCCGTTAGATTTCGAGGCTCAAGTGGCTTTAGCGATCGCGGACGTTCGGAAGTCGGAGATGATGATGTATTATGTCAAGATCGGATTTATCCTGTTTCCCGACACTCCAGTTCGCCGCGAAGCTGCCGAACGAATCCGTGCGGAGTTTGGGTGGCCTTCGCTCTTTAACCCTCCGGAATCTCCCCGTGCGCGTCGCAGGCGCCAAGTCGAAGAAAACCGCATTTTGGAGGAGGAACTTTGCTGTGTGGAGTGCAACAACAATGGTCCTGGTTCCTGCGGTCGTATTTTGTGGACTATTGTTGATGAACCTGTTCCCAAATCGTGGCCATCTGGCAACCTCGATGGCTGGAAGCCAGAGGGCGATCCAGATTATGCAGCGTACTGGGAGGAGAGGGGCCTCAAGCTGGACATCATGGTCCCTGAGTGGGTGAATGTGCCGCCTCCGTTTCCGGAAACACCGAAGAAGAAGAGTAAGCACATTGTAGTGCGGCGCCATTCCCTGCGTGGCATTCCCCACAGCTATTGGAAATGAGGATTTTCGTTGATTGTCTGTTTGGATGTCGGCTTAATGATTTAAACTGTATGGGCTCCCTTTTGTTTAAATCTTTTGCTGATTGGGTGTCTTCTTGCTGCGTTTTAATGAAGTCTCAGTGTGGCACGCATAATCGCGTATAATGTTAGAGCTGCTGCGCTGTGGATATTTAAAAACGAGTGTCGTTTTGCTTCTCTCCCAGTTGTGATCGAGCCTATCGTTATGGCTCAGTTTTCTGTGAATTTTGTACGGACTGCATAATTCAGCCAATGCTATTGTAATTTTGTAATTTTGCAAGGTATGAAGGATTTTGCAAAGGGAATTAAAAGCGTTTGGGAAATTTGAGTCGCGTGTTTAAAGTGGTAAATTGATGGGTGTATATTGACTCAATATACATACGCTAGCGAAGCTACCGACAGATTCCAGTACTGTTGCTGCACTCCGAGTGTATACACATTCTGCCATAGACTTGTGTGCTATTCCGATGCGGTATGACTTCGCAGCTTACGAAGTATGCGGTCGCCGGTGTGGGCGGTTGTCAAATCGTGATTTGAATACATCCCAGCTTGGAATTCTATACAATTCAATTTGTGCATGTCCTATTTCATATCACTTCTTGGGGATAACTTCTCGTTTGATTCATTACTAGTCTGGAGATTTCTACATCAATATGACTCCGCCAGCGTGTGAGCAGAAGAAAGCTGCGGCTAAGCAGGCGCTGGAGAACCGCGTTACGGAATGGACAGCGTCTGTTGCGCAGAAGATGGCCTTGCGCTCTGAAGCCCAGCACCGCTTTAAGCGGAAGCGGATTGCAGTTAAGGAAGCCGTCTCAAAGCTTCCGCTAAAGAACCCGTAGTGTCCTTGTGACTCAATGGCGTCCATGAGTGGGATTCTGCCTTGCGTTACATCGTGGTATGAAAATCAGTGGACGCTGCTGCTTTAGCTTTTCAGTAGGTTACCTTTTCTGTTTAGTTGCAGCTTGGCTGATTATTCTTTCGTGATCTCGTATCTTGCTCTCATTTAGCAATTTTACCTCTTTTAGAATTTTATTGGCAGTTTCGGTATGTTTTGGTTTTCGTTTCGTTGTTCTTGTGAGCTGCAGTTGCTTTACGCTCTGCACGGGTAGCATTATGGCCGTTGCGTTGGGTTTGGTTTTAGTTCAGATATTGGTGTTATTATACAGATTGCGGATTATTAAAGTTTATGTAGTTGCCGTTTGTTCTGTTGTTGGCCGATTTTGAAACGTTGTAGTCTGCAACCTCTGGATAGACCACTTCCGTGAACGTTCACATTAATTGCCTTAAACACTGTCATCTCGGGCGGGTGGCCTGTATGCAGATTTCGCATGTAATTATACGCCTTTGGCGCTGTCGTCAATTTTACTTTTACGTAGAGCGACCCTGCTGGTATAGTAGTGGCTTCCGTTGCTTCGTCATTACTGATCGGAGGTTCTAGTCCACACAAAGTTGCAATTTTGTAAATGTATTTTCTTTTTATGCTCTTATTTTGTGTATTTTTATATTTTCATGTGCTGAGTTCAGTATCGTGAATTATGGGTAGTTTTCCATCGAGAAACAAAGGTTTAAGTGTCGCACACACGATATGGCAATTCGCTGCAGTATTTTCGTAATGGCTTGTATGGCCGAGAGGAGTAGTAACAAGAACAATTGACCGCAACCACAAGCTGGTCTCTGGTTCCATTCCACATAAAAACGCAATTTTGTAAAAGTGTTTTCTTTTTTTTTAGTTTTAGTATTTCTGTCTTTATATTTGTATGCGCTGGGTTTAATGGTTTGAATTATGGCTCACTCTACGTTGCAAGCGGTCTTTTCGAAAAGTGCGAAGCGCAGTGCATCAACTGTATGATATTTTTCACAACGTTTTTGTTGATTTTCGTGTGGTCGAGTGGTCTAGTACGAGAAAAATATCAAACGCCTTTCGGCTAGGCATTGGGTTCCAATCCCAAACAATTGTAAAAGCATTTTCTCAACCTTCTTTTTTTTTTTTTTACTCTATTATTTTGTGTTTTATGTTCTGGTGTATTTTGCGTACTTGCGTTAATATTGGATTATTTTTCAATGAGCAGTATGTGCAAGTGTGCATTTGTTTGTATTTGTCGTAAGACTCTGTGGTGTAGTGGCTAGGCGGAGAATTCTCGCTCACCAACTGTTGCACAGGTCTAGAGTTCGAACCCATAAAATTAAAATTGCAAATCTTAAAACCTTCTTTTCGGTTTTATATTTTTATGGCATCATGAAATAATTTGTTTGTGTTGACATTGGTAATTTTGCGACCACTTCCGTTGAGCAACTTCAAATGTTAATATCGTAGTATTGCGTAGTGTAGTGCTCTGCACCGTTGAACTACAGTATTGGGGAAACTAATAGGTTGCGGGTTCAAGTCCCTTACAGTTAATTAGCATTTTCTGAGAAACTTACTTTTTCTCGTTTTATATTTTTATAATCTTCTGGCGAAATTAATGGCAATGGTCCCCGGAATATTAGACGCAATTTCGAAGAGCAGCGCATAAATTGTGTACTCGATGGTTGCCATGGTGTATCGTCGCTTGTTCTTTAGCAGTCGGATGACTTTGTAGTTCAGTGGCTGTGTATGATGGCCATTCAGTGCATGACTACGTCTCCGACGGCCTCAGGTTTAAATTCCGGTTTGCATGTGCATGTCGAAACTCACTTTTTCGACTTTGTATTTTGTATTTTTAGTGGAATAAAATTGTGTTAGTGAGATACTGATTTTTATAAGTATCCTGAGTGAGCACTTTTCGGTGTTAAAATTTATTCGGAAATATTGTAGAAGTATCCGTAGTCTAGTGCAGAGAACTGTTAATCCACAACAACGGGTGTACCGGGCGGTTCTGGGTTCAAACCCTTATAAATAAGTTTGCAATTTTAAAACTTTCTTTTTCGGTGTTTTCCCTTGGTATTTTTGTGGCACAACACCGTGGCATTTTTATTTTTAATTTTATGGTACTTACGGTTGAGTGATTTGCATTTCACGCCACTAATGACAGCTTGGCCTTAACTATACACGACATATCGCCTCCGGTGTTTATAAGTTTAACTTCCCAATGTGGTATAACCATGCTGGCGTAGGGGCAAGAGCAGGATGTTGTTGTCCAGCTAGACGAAGGTTCAATCCCTCGTGAATACAAATTTTGCAAGTTGTAGAGTTTTCTTTTTATTTTTTTTGGCTTTCAGTGGTCAAGTGTCGACGTTTAAATTTCTATCGGAATAATAAAATTGTTTCTGCATCGGATTCTCGGTTGTGGGGACAAAAGTTGGCTTTACACGGTTATTTTTGCCAGTAATAACAGACAATCGGAATTTATTGTGATTTCCACCAAGTCCTTCTGTTACCGTCTTTTATTGCGGTTATTAATCTACTACATCAGATTCAAAATTAATCTCGGATTAAAAGATCTGTCCGACCGGCAAAATTAACGACTATATGAGAATCTGTATGAGAGTTATGAAATTAAACCGTCGATGAGATTAATCCAACGAGATTAGGAAAATAACAACTGGCTAAATTATCAGACAGCCGTGACGAAACCATTGCACACCGCAACACAGCCCTTTAATCCAAGTCCAATTTCTCCTGGGCATCCTTCAAATTAGACAGACGCTGTTCCAGCGCCTCGCGGATATACGCGATGTGACGGGCGTCCGCTAATTTTCGCATCTTTAGCGTGTTTACCAGCGCCTTGCAGTTGTCCATGATGTCCTTTTCTCGCTCAACCTTTTCCAGAAGCTTGTCGATTTCGTCCAGCTCTCTAGTGGCCTCAGCACCGGGCTTCTCACCTTCTTCCTTAGTTTTCTTTTCTGTAGTTGCATTTTTCGCGGGGGCAACATATTTCGGACGGCCGTTCATGGCTTTCAGCTGTGTCAGAGTGATGATAGGCTCTCTTTCGATTCGTGCATCCTTGCTGGCCCGGATCACCAAGTTGGCGTCAGCCGTGTTATTCTGCGCTGGGTCAATCGCGTCCAGACGCTCCATGATGCCGTCAATGACCAAGTTGACGTCCTCCCCCACATAACCGAAACTGCAGTCGGCGACCTGTTGCTTGATCTCTTTCCCCTGCTGCGTGATTTTCATGGTGCCCATTTTTACATCTGCAAATAGTTGGCCGTCAGTACTAAAAACAGTCAAACAACAGAATTATCGTGCACATGTAGCTTAGACGCATATGAAAGTCTAAATCGTGCGATGATTAGATAGGATTATGCCTGTTAATTACTGGTTGTAAATTGCCTGTATCACTATCTGTACGAATTGCCGCAAAATACTCTTACTAATCATCTGAGCCAAGGTGTCGCAAAGACAACACCCGCGAATGCTTCTCAGCCACAAGTCGATGCAACTATCCACATATAGATTGCCATAGACGGTGATAATCTGTTTCTTTTTCACCAGACGACGCATTCCCCGCTCGAACCAATAGTCGTAGTCTTCGAGTCGCAGGTCGTAGGTGCAGGCCCAGTGTTGAATTTCGGTGCGCGATAGGGCATAGCGGGCGTGGTAGAGGATCGCACGGATCATACGGCGAAGCTTACTGTAGGTATCAATCAGCTTCTCCTCTCGGTTCTTTTTGACTTCCTCAGCGACTTCTAAGACGAAGCGCCCGTCGCGCGCCATCTTTTTCAGCAGTATTCCTGCGTTAATTGCGTCGCCCAGGAAGAAGTCCACTCGGTCTGCGGTAAAGTCGCCATGCATGTCCACAATGAATTGCTTAATGGAAGCCATGTCCACGTAGAAACCACAAATATCTGCTTCCAGGATGCAGGCATGAGCGGCCGTGTGCATCGCCAGTTGTCGACGGTTTTTTACGGTCTCCCTTTCTCTCAGAGGTTCGGCCAAGGCAAACTGGATAGATTTACGTGTTCGCTCCTTCCAGTATCGGGCATGCTCGATAGCATCTGTTTCGGGCGATGGTAATGGCTCCCCAGCTGGTCCAACAGGCTGCGCTGACATGATAATAATGAGATGTTAGAAGATAAAAAGAAAACAAACAGGTGTGAATAACAGAAAAGACCTTCACCGTAAAAAGGAATAAAATTGTTGGGTTCTCCACGCTACGACTAAAAACAGCTGATATTTGTAGCGGTCTTCATGCGGCATCTTGTCTCCAGCCGACCGCTCTGAGGTGTGAGTTTGTGCGGAAACTGTGCAGTTTCCGGTTTATGTTCTGAGTTTATCCTAGCCATTCTCTGATTACAGAGGTGCTCGTGTTTAGAAATATTAAATTTTAGGGGTCAAATTTGCAAATTCACCAGGGAAAACTTTAGTTGGTTTTCTTCTGGAACGAAGCAATTAAAACCTAGTAAAATTTAAGAAATTCGTTCTGTCGCCTGTCAACCCCCGTGTGGTTGACTGCCTGCATTTTCATCACTTCCAGTGTCGGTGCCGGATTAACCGCACTGACTGTGCTGTAATCAGCTATTCGCTTTGTTGTGGTTTTTCGTTTTGTGAAATTTTCATCTTGTTGCCTCACTGTCAGACATTTGCCTTTTCCTGTGATTTTCCAGTTACAAAATGTCTGCAACTCCGCGAAAGCCTACTGCGCGGAAGACAGTAGTTCCGGTTATGCGTGTTGCACGGCCGAGCAGAGAGTTAGCGGGGCTTCCGTTTGGTTATTCGCCTGAAAGCGACGAGGCGCAGTCTTCTAGCCGCGTAACTCGAGCCCGTGTGTCTACTCGTTCCGCCGAACAACCTGTGTTTTCTGCTCAGTCCCCTGGACCGTCTGGTATCCGAGCGGCAATGGAGAGCCGTAATTCTAAACAGCGTGCCAGTAAAAGTAAAGGCAAAGCGATCTTGGATGCCTTGCGTCGCCGCAACGAAAGAGCTAAACTTGCTGCACTCGCCCGTCGTGATGCTGCTGTTATTAGCCGAGGAAGACGCCGTGGCAAATTCCCGACCGATCCCGATGTGGAGATTTTGCAGCCATCTCCTCCGAAAAGCCCACAGAAGAAGCAGAGTATCGCTGTGCGACAGTTGGGCACTCCGGACCTAACTGAAGAAGAACCTGAGTCCTCGGAGACTCCGTCGGTGCGAGCAAAGCGAGGTATTTCCGTAATATCCTGTCATTTTGATCTGTTTTGTCTAATGCTGATAGTACTCGTTTTTCAATCAGCTTTTGTCGGAGCTCTCTGTTTTTGTTGTTGCTGATATTGTCGTATTGTTGCCTGTTTCGTATGCTCATTCGAAATTGGCGGATATTTTGTCAGTTGTTGCTATTACACATTCCTGAGATATACAGTTTAATGGGAATAAGTCCTTGTCCCGAATGTCAATTCCTTAAATAGTAATTTGTGCTTTTGTGGCATATTAGACGAAGAGCATCTGCAGAAAGGCGGAATTTTGTATGTGCCTTACGATCCGAAGGCTCCGCGGCCGGTCTTCAAGACCAAGCAGACGGCTCGTAAGCGCGCGCATTCTGGTGTGTTTCCACGGATGGCTCTGGCTGACAAACAGGGTGAGCATCAATTGGTTATTACGGAGGCTTATTTTCCTGGGTTAAATCAATTCCATCGTTATTATCCTCGCTTGTATTTATCACGCTTTCTATTCATTGATGGAGCCTTAATTAACCGATTCGATCTGTGTACTTTTACGCGATTATTGCCCACGCCTATCGCTTTTGAATTGCGTCGACAGTACCTTTATCTAAATTCGGTTTTTATTGCCTTATTTGAAGAGTTGGCCAAACATCAGAAGACGGATGCTGAAGCACGTCAGGCGATTGTTGCGTCATCAAGTGTGGAGAATGAAGCGCCGCAACCGTCTACTTCGGCCGCTGCCCCGTATTATCTCCGCTCTCGTGGACAAAAGCGCAAGCGTGTAGAAATGTCTCCATCATCTTCATCGGAAAGCGGCAACTCTTCTTCGGATGACGATTATGACAGCACTGTTGCTGTTTCTGATGCTGAAATCGCTGATGACGAGGCAGAGGACAGCCAGATTGAAACTGCTGGATCTGGCCTGGAAGAAATAGATGTGGATCCACTACCGTCTCTGCAGCCAGTTGTGCCGATTGTTCTGCCTGTTCCAGCTACGGTTCATGAGGATTCACCCGAGATCGGCGAGCCAATCATTTATGTCCAACCGCATTCCAATGAATTGTGATTGTGCTCTGCCATATCACCTTGGCTATTGTCTGTTCTTCGTATGATTTGTTCTTCTGTAGGTTATTCTTTTGATGTCATGTATTATGATCATCTGCTCCTATCGTTATGTCTCCTACGCTACTTGGTATTATCGATTTTTGGCGACTTTTTGTGCTTTATTTCTCATTTTTATTTTTCCATACTGTATTCAGAGTCAACGAACGATAGTCGCTGTTGAATCTTCCGTGGTGCCTAGATCTGATCTGATCGGCTGATTATTTTGAATTAAAGGATATAGCGCGAGGCGCTGATTGGTTGTTTTTCTTACCTGTGGAATCTGCCGTATTTTAAACTTTCGCTCCGGCAGACCGGTATAAAATCATTTGCATGCAGTGTGCAGAAATCGGCATTGTGGATTTGTCGGATTTTTCATTTCGACACTGTAGTGTGTAGCGTGTTAGACTTTTTGCGCTTTCCGTCTATAACTTCGACGTTATTCTTTTTCACGTTTGTGTATAAAGGTCATTAGTTCTCTGTGTGGGCATGCCGCCTATTGATCCTAACCGTGCTTTCGATAAACTGGTTGACGCTATCTTTCATTCTTCATCCAACCAGCAGCAACAGAATTATGCGGTTATAATTACCGAGGAAGGGGTGGAGCCCGTGGTGCTTACCGTGGCAACTTTCGTCCGTACGGCAGAGGAAATCATCGGAATTTTGGAGACAATAACCTCCGTCGCGGAAACGATAATTGGCGTCGTCAGGGCCGACCTTTGGCAGCACCGGAAGTTATTGAAATACCTGATGGAGCTCCTAACGCTGCTCCTCCAGTGGAAGCTCCCGCCCCAGACATGGAGGTTGACCACCCGGGAAATGAAGCGCCGAATGCACCGAATCCGGGCCAAGGCGACGGAAATGTGGCTCCAGGTCAGCCCAATGGTCTCAACGTTGCTGTCCATTTACATGGCCCACCACCCGTAGATGTTGTTGTTCCCGTGGCTGTTATTCCGCCCGTACAGGTGCAGCAGCAGCCGAACGCTGAATTTCCGGGTCTCCCGCCGAATGTTTTGCCGCTACCTGCAGTGCCGATTATCCGCGATGCCCGTGACCGTTCTCCAGCCGATCGTCAGCGTGCACTTTCTGGTCCTGTCGGTTCTGCTGATCACAATTTTGTACCTGGATACTTGGCTCAGCAGCAGCAGCGTGACTTGGATGCTGATCGTCGCCGACAGATGGCTGCTGATGTATCTCGCCGTCTTGATGCCGCTGCAGCTGGATCTGGTGGTATCACTGGCTTGTTTTCGTTGGCACCTAATGCCAGTAAGTAACCTTAAGTGACCTTGTGTCCTTTTTGATCTCACCTATTGTGTGTTACTAACCTTGTTTCGCGTATCACTTTCATGCACTGACGCGGCATTACTCTTGTACTGCTCTTGTCCTCCTTTTGGTTTCTATTCCTTTGAGTGTATCGGTAATTTGCACTGATCTTCTATCGTTATTATTAGCTTGATTGTTGTTGTTGACCTTGTTGCTATCTTGTATGATCTGGATTCGAGAATTCGTAAGAATACCAGTCGGATGATTCAGTGATTTATTTCGTTCGTACGTTTAATACATAATAGGTTCGCTTAAAACGCCATATTCAACTTTAATCTCTTACAACACAGTTCAATAAAGCTTTGTGATACTCAGTTGTACATACAAAATACCATCTTCAACCGGCATAAGTGCACAGTATCAGTAATTCATAGTCGCCTTCTTGGATCCCTTGGACCTCCGCCCTGCCAAACCCGTGGACTTCCGGATGCCATTTCGCCAAGGATTCCACATTAACTCACTCGGAATCGCGGCGTACAGTCACATTGGGCATCGGATGGACGCGTGGATTGTGCGGTGGAGCGGGATCAGGATGGATGGATGTGCACAATCGCACTGGGATGTTGCGGGATGGAGTGTTTACGTTGGCACGGCCAAGCATCGTTCGTGGGGGTGACGTGTGGGAGTAGGATCACACGCCGGAGTGTACGTACGGATGCTGACTGTCCGCCTTCCACCTGCAACATAACAGATAATCTAGTCAATCTCTACTGTGATTTGCTGTTCTCTTTTACTAGCGATGTAAATGATGTCATAACGCAGAGTCTATATAAGTTCTTGTTGTCACTGATATCGGCAGCAGTCGCTAATCAGTAGTCTGAGATTTACTTCTGAGACTGCTCTCTAATTAAGATTTCCTAGCCTTGTGAACTGTGATGAGAATTGGATAAAGAGACAGCAATACTTGTTCCTTCTGATGTACATGATCGCTCCCGGATTATTGCATAGAATACAGGTTTGCTCGTGACACAATTGTCCTCGCTCTTGCCGATCCACACAGGACTCGCGACCGGAAGTTGTAGTTGGAGTGTTCCTGAGGGATTCCTGATTTGTGTTCCTGATTCGTCGTTCGTGTTTCCACCGTAATTATTCTGTTACAGTTTGAGAGTACGAGTGCCTACCGACTGAGCATTACAGGCGTGGAAGAGTAAAGATTGTTCATGGAACCTTAACCGGTGTGAACGCTTATACACGACAATCGTGTAATTCTCTTGCATTAGAGAATTTAGGGAAAGGATACTATATCCATCGCTCAACACGCCCTTATCAATTAACTGTAGACAATAGACTCCACGTAAGCGCGCAGTTGACCTCTGGATTATTTAGATTTCGTTTTCCTCTCGCATTACCTAATACGACATCATCCTCAACAAAACTAATTTTTCCTTCAAAAATGTTTTCTGTTTTTAAAAAGTTTAAATCTAGTGAAATTTAATTGCCTGTGTACAAATTTAGGAAGAGGCTTTGAAGTCGGTCATCATAATACGTGCATGTACGGTATCCAAAATCGACATACACTAGCATTTAACCATAATATATGTTTGCGTGAGACCTGCGATCGTGCCCTCGAGATGCTGCAGGCATCAGTATGTTTTATGTCTGGCTGCAGGCTGGCAGTAACAACTAGCCGAGTAAATTTTCGAACCATACTAGCCAAATAAATTTTCGAAACAACTCGCTGAATAAAGCAATCGCAAATTACGGCTATTTTTGCCCCGTTATTGCGTGCACTGTCGTGTGTTTCTGAGACTTTTGTCGTGCAGAAAGCATGAGGGCCTTTTGAGAACTTTTGAAGGCTTTCACTAGGACGAGTGATGATCATTTAAAAAAAGGTTGATGACCATCAGAGAAACGTTGACGACCTTTAGAAAAGTTTGATCAAAAAGGTTGATGACCTTTAAAAAAGGTTGATCAGAAAGGTTGATGAAAGGTTGATGACCTTTAAAAAAGGTTGATCAGAAAGGTTGATGACCTTTTGAGAAAGGTTGATGACCTTTAGAGAAAGGTTGATGACCTTTAGGGAAAGGTGGATGACCTTTAGAGAAAGGTTGATGACCTTTAGAGAAAGGTTGATGACTATTCAGTAAGTCTGATGACGTTACAGAAGTATTGATGGCCGTTACGGAAGGGTGGATTGACTACTGGCGACAACATGTGTTGCCATAACTAGACGTAAGTGTACTGTAACATGCGTACCCAAACCTGCCCTATTATGCAAGGTGCAATACTTGAGTGTTTTAATTTGCGGTCATTTAAAAACACGGTTTTAATATTAGCAGGCAGTGCTGAGTGTAAGCGCGGTACTGTACAACTGAGTACTGAGCCCGAAAATTTTGAGTGGTTAGCTGGTTACGGATCTACGTGTGGATTGCAAACTTACTAGCTCATTCCTCTACAGCTCATATTGGGCGGCCGTGTAGTTATTTTAAGATTTAGACCCATGTTTTTAGTTGGTACAGCTTGAGGTACTGTTCGTGATCCCATATCCGTGCGTAAATATTACGGCATCTGCAAATGCGGACTGTCTGAAGATCATGTTTTGAACTTGGGCCTTTCCCATGCATGTCTCTGCAATTGTCTGTGACGGCTGCTGCTCTAAATTGCTAAGGTGTTTTTCGCACTGCTTACAATTTTATTCCTCTAACTATTATGGCGGATAAAGTGCACAAATAGCGCGAGCACGACAACCAATTAGAGACATCTGCAACTTTTGCCCTAATTCTGAGGTGCTGCGCTCCGAATTGTCAGTACATCTTTCTAGCTGTTATAGCTGAACATTTAGCAAAGGTCAGTCCCTGCACTATGGCTTCGGCTACTCTGATCGCATAATATTATGACGCAAGTTATTTCATATAGCCGCAATGTCTTCAAATGCAAACCCGGCGTTATTTTTAAATCAATGGACAGCGAGAAAGAAATGCTAAGAAATACAAAGTTAAGAATGAGAAAACTTAGACAAACAAACAGTAAGCAAAAAAATAAAATCAGTAAACAGTATGTTGGGCAGCTATGAGGACAACCTTTGCCAAAAAGGCGGAAAAGTTTCTGCAAAATGGTTGATAACCTTTTGAAAAGGTTGATCGAAAAGGTTGATGACCTTAAGAAAAGTTTGATGACCTTCATTGAGCGTCAACCATCAACCCGTCAACCTTCCTGCCGGCTACATGCGCCTAATCATGAGCTGGTCACCGGTTTCTACAATGAGAAAGATTTGCGTTTTATACAAAAATACTATCGTGAAATGCTTCGCATAATACTAGTTATGCTACACAACTAATATTACCTACTCCTGGCGCTATTTTTCTTCCCCTCTTTCCTCTCGAGTTCGAAACGTGTAGGAAGAAACAACGCTTTTTAAAGCATAAAATGCTCGGTCAGTGCATGTCAGGTGCGCGGTTCGAAGTTCACCCTTGCAAAAATTCTATTTATAAAGTTCGAAGTCAGTTAAAACAGAGCTACCGCCACTTAAGTTGTTCGCGTCATGATTCTTCGTGGTCAACGAAGAACAAGAAAAGGCATATCGTTGTGATTATTCATAAACCGTTTAGATTTCGGCCAAATTCACTTCAATACTTATTAGCGTTCAGTTAATACATAGTTTGTTTTGAAGAGCTGCACCACATTCCGACTTCTCTTAATAGCCGCGTAGGCATTTTGGATTTTATAGCTTGTACGAACAGCATCTATGCCAGAAGTCCCTTTTCAAACTATTTCCGCGAGGATTTGATGAACGTGTGATGTACTCTAAGGCTAAAACATCTGGATACGAATATGCACTACTTCGAATACTGCCGTATATGGGCTCCCCTTATATTACTCTCCCTTATATGGGCTCCCGGCTAGTTTGCAATACCCGTCAAATTAATTTTATCGGATTTATAGCAGAACCCTTTTCTACTTCTCTCAATCGGATTTACCAGTGAACACACCAAAGAATTCCGAAATTTCACATACGAATTATATTCATATGTATTATTTATATATATTTTTCATTAATTTCAACCGGATTTGCCAATGACAAACTGAAAAATCCTACAAAAGTATTGGCAAAATAAGTATTTTAAATAAATTTAAATAAATCAAAATTTTCAGTCAGTCATGACACTGATAACAACTGCGAAAGTGTGAGTAATATCGTAACCGCCCATGTAGAGGGTTCCTCATATTGCTCGGGAGCCAAGATAAGGGAGAATAATATAAGGGGAGCCCATATAATTGGCAGTATTCGAAGTATGGCCAAAATGTCCGGGTAACATTTTACTCTTGTCGTTCTTGTTCAGAATCGAAAAAGTGAAAAAAAGACTGGTTGAGCAAAATTTACGGCTGTTAGTATCAACTCCCCGGCAGATGTCTATTCCCAATAAATGTTATGCCTGATATACCATTTGTTACAGTATAGAATAGCAATTTCCGAAGTGTCGCTGATAGTTTTATGTGTCGTACAAAGCTCAAAGCGTCTCTCCCTGTCAAAAAGTTTGTTATGAACTGTATCAACATACCTCAAATCTTAAACCGTTTATCATAAAATGTGCCGACGGCATGATTTTGGCAGCAGATCTTATGTAATGATTTTTATTAATACGAAAATGTATCGAAGTTACAAAATTCATTCGAAACCCGTATCCGCGTCTTCGCAGCTGTTTAACCAAAACGTTAGATAGGAACGTAAACGTAAGATATTGCATCTAAAGCGAAAGCTTCGTCGGTCGACCAAAATTGATCGCCTCGCCACATAACCTTAAAACGATTTTGATCCATGTGTCAAAGTTCTAGAGAATAAAAGCTTTTCTGCAGAATCTTGTTAAGTAATCAGTTATTGAAAACATAGTTTTTGTGCAAGGACATCGGTCGACCGACAAGAATTATCCTCAAAAGCAAAGTCGCAAAAACAGAAAAGAAAAAATCGCAGAAAAGAAAAAAAAAGTATGGAAACGAAAAACACACTGCTCCAGTTTACCTAGTTGGAAGCAAAATGTTAACGACAAAATTTTGAGTAATACCTGGCACTGCCCACGGGGTGGCTGCAATACTTTTGCTGCCGACTACGCTCACTTTGGGCTACTTTCATGCTGCTTCTGATTGGCTGTACGGCAGTTTCAGTGCTCACCGCAAGTTTACGTTCAGCGCCGTTGCGCACAAGCTGATTTTGACAGCCAGTTTTGGTAAAGGCAATTGTCGACTTTCTTGCAATCTCACCACGGTGTGTCCAAATGATTTGTGATCTTATTTGAGTCTCTGACGTTTTTTGATTTTATGGCTGTCGACGGCCAAATTTGATTTCAAAACGCCAATAGAATACTGCCAGTGTAGTTATTTTATGCGTGGAACTGTCAGGCACGGCTTGTCTGTAAAAGCAGCTGCAGCATTTAACACAGCCTCAACAGATGTAAGGACTCACAGCAATGTTGGACAAGTTCTACGGTGAGAACCAAGCGACTAGTCTTCCATATCATTCATCATAAAGATAAAAACGTTTCGAATTAATGCATATTTTTTATTTGCAGACCCTTAAGAAACATTGCTTAGCTGGACAATTGTGCATGACGACATGCAGTTAAGCACAGGTAAGCGAAGTGTAGAATGAATCGCTTTATCGGTTGTAAGATTACAAATCGAGTTCTGCTTTACGAAAAGAAATGGTCACTCTTGTTCCCATAATTTTTTTTTTGCGTGTCCTGTGAACGTGGATAAAAATTCGGCGCCGATGGAAATTATATTTTTAAGGCAAACAATTTCCTTTAGGTTTTTTAATATGCAACAACGAGAAGTTTAACGTACTAAAATCTTTGTTTACTTAAGTTTTTTATCTGCTACCTGCATGTCGACATGCAAGTGCTTCAGCAGCTAGTTACTGCGCGTTTGGCGGTGCGCAGAGGGTAAACTCACCACGTTTATGAATTTGGTTTCGCCACGTTTTGCAAGCAATATTTTCTTACTCCCTTTTCAAATTCTAATTTTAAAAAATTATTAGATAGTGAATCAGCGTGGTGCTGCTGCATTGCACTAATCGTTGCAGTTGCACTTGTGAAAACATTACAAGATTTTTTTTCTCAAAGTGACGATTCCTAAATTCACCAAATACTTTCGCAGCAGAAACACCGATTCGCAATTTAAGGTTTTTGTTTGAGAACTGCATGTAGACATGCACAACATTTTTGTTGCTGGTGCATTAAAAATGTTGATGTACCGCGTTTGTTTATAACGTAGCGGAATGCGTGCGTCTGAAAGTATCATTTTGTACGTAAGTTAACCATGCTGATGCTTTGCAGGGCAGATGAATTATTGTTCTATGCATCTCCTTGGCCAGAACGCAAATTTTCCAGGAATTTCGTGGATGTCGACATCCATGCTTGTACTTGCCATCCTGGCGATAATTAGCTGTTATGCATATTTAGTAGTCGCTAATGCTTGATTTCTAGCATTCCTGTCAATTTAGAAGCATCATCCAAATCGGTTTTTCTGTCTGATTATGTTGGTGTTTTCATGAGAAAGTTTTTTATGCAAAATTTGTTATGTACTATATGCCAAAATAAACGGGAAAGATTATGCGCATAATCTGAGTATTATTGTTGGAGGTGGAGTATGTCTGTATTGTTGTGCTGTATCCTGTCGGTTGTGTGCTGTACCGTAACCAATTAGCGAGCACCGTGCACCAAGCGCCCTTGTGGCCAGTTGGCAGCCAGTAGTATAAAAAGGACGCGCTCAGCGTACGGAGCCACATTCGGCACTGAAGTAGCATTCACTGTTGCAATTATTTTGTTTGATTAACGGTCACTTAGTGTTGTCGCTATGGACGTGCCGAAGTCGAAATCAGCCTTACAAAAGCTGAATTTTAAACAGTTAAAAGACTTGTGCGACCAGCTTGAACTTTTGTACGCCTGTGATGACGCCAAAAGTCAGCTGTATAAATCGCAGAATCCCATCTGTTCACTGATGCCGACTCCATCGCCACTGTACTGGAGCGTTTGAAATTAGACAACACCTGCCAGGATGAACTTGAAGCTGAGGAAATCACATCAAAGTCCACCCTGCTGATCCTAGGGAAGTCATCAAAATTTCCCGACAATTTGTCCATTGTTAGCCGAGAAGGTGTCCGCTGTATCCTGGAGGAGTTTATCCGCGCGAAACTAGCCAGCCGGAAAACCGCAACTCCCGTCGCCGGACATAAATCCCGCCAGTACTCGTCGTCCCGCAGCAGCAGCCGCCAGCGTGCCAATACCGCCGGGCAAAACCATAAAGGTCACCATGCCGCCACTACCTCTGGCGTCCGTATGCCCAGCTTCCGCACCCCAACCCCCGTCGGTGAGTTGTGTGGGAATAAGCTTGCTCGTTCTAATAGCGTTATGTCTGTGAATTCATGCGGAAGTGCTAAACCGACAAGTTCAGACACTGTTGATGGCCGTTTTCCAAAGGAAGCGCGCAAGCTTAAACAGCCGCATGAACTGGCTTGCCCAAAGCCTGGCGCTAAAAGTAGGGCCGTATTGCCAACTGATTTATCTCTTGACGAGTTTTCCGTAAACAGCTGGCGCACAGCTGTGAAATTATGCAAAACCATGTCAGGTGGGTACGCAAGCACATTGCTGGAACACCTGGCATATGATGAATTTCTGGCCTCAATGAGATGTAGTTTTAGAGATGACGTTGTTTTGTCGTTTGATATGGAATTCCGCCATCAGGCGGAAGAAGAAGAGTTTTCCCTGACTGACTTTAATGAGCGTAATAGTATCGGCGCAAAACACTTTCTTGCCGGTAACCGCCGGCAACAGGGCACCAGCAGTAACAAGCAGCTTTTTCGTGGGAAGAGCGGCTCACACTCGAGCCGCTTTAAATTCGCCTGTTGCTATGCCTTCCAGGAAGGCAAATGTCCCCGCTCAGCTACAGCGTGTGCATTCAATCATGTCTGCGGCGAGTGCGGGAAGCGCGGGCACAGCTTTCAGGAGCACCGAAATACCGGCGCCGGTCCGGCCGGCTCCGCTCGTGGATCAAACTAGTGTGTCGTTTACTTCTGTCTCTGCCATTCCAGAGCAGACTTGTTTGTCTCCCTTCCCCGAATCGTTAGAATTTTGTTCTTGGTCGCGCAACTACGCTAATTGGGTTAGTGAGATTTCAGGCATGGAAAACGCACGCTTTATTCTTGATGGTATCAGGGAAGGCTTTCGTATTGTTTGTGATGTGAATGCAATCGGGCCAACCGATTGCGCTAATTACCACAGCGCTCTTAACAGCGATACTAAGCCCGTCTTAGATAAGCTGTTCCGCGAAGAGTTAGAAATAGGTCGCATTCAGCGGCAGACGGCAAAGCCTCTGCGTATTCATGCGATAGGAGCTGTGCCTAAGAAAGAGACGGGATCCGTGCGCCCTATCACAGATTGTAGCCGTCCCTTTGACATTTCCCTGAGCTCCTTTATAGAGGCAGATGCATTTAGCTTTGAATCTGTTGACGATGCCTTGCGATTGGGAACACCTAATTGCTATTTCGCCGTTGTTGACATAAAGACTGCTTATCGCTCTGTACCCGTGCATCCGATGCACTGGCAATTACAGGGATTCCGATGGGCTTTTGAGGGAGAATCAGACGCATTTTATGTTGACCGTTGTCTTTGCTTTGGCTTAGCAAACGCGCCGGCGATCTTCCAAAAAATTTCGCTGGCTCTAGCGAACATGATGCTTAAGCGCGGTTTTGTTGTAGTTTATTACTTGGATTACTTCCTTTTAATTGGGAAAGATTATGATAGTTGCAACGAAGCATTATTGAGTTTTTTAAATTACTAACAAATTTGGGTTTCTCGGCAAAATGGGAGAAAATCGCCGGCCCAAGCCGGCGGATAACCTTTCTCGGGTTAGTAATCGACTCTGAATTGCAACGCCTAGAGCTCCCGGCAGATAAACTTAAAAAGTTGTTAGATTTAATTAAATGTCACCAATCCGCGACGTCTATCTCAAAGAAACAGTTGCAGGAATTGGTAGGCCATATGTCGTTTGCTTCAAAGGCGGTTTATGGCGCCCGTACGTTTACACGAATATTTATAGACCAACTCTCGACGCTGGACAAACCGTGGCACAAAGTAAAGGTCAACAGTCTTTTACGTCACGAACTGTCATGGTGGGAGAAGTTTGCATCCGAATTTAATGGTCTGTGTCCGTGCCCGCTAGGAACACCCCGCAAAGAGGTGGTAATCTGCACCGACGCGTCCTTCACTGGGTTTGGGGCAGATGTCGGTGGCACGTGGCTTGCCGGCACTTGGCTGCCGGATACCGTTGCACCACCCGGCTTTGAGCAGAACTGGGTGCCAGCGCCCTTACTGCACGGTTCACTTCAGGGAAATATTAATTTCCTTGAATTAATTGCGGCATGCTTGCCGCTCATTCTTTGTGCATCCCGTCTTGAAGGATGCAAAGTGCTGGTTCTGTCGGACAACACCCAAACTGTTTCCCTCCTCAATAGAGCAACGACGAAAAACGTTGAAGCGCTTAAATGGTTCAAGCGCGTATTTGCCGCTAGCGTTGCTCATGACTACCGGGTCGTGTCGGCACACGCGGCCGGCATTAAAAATGTTATGGCAGACGCCCTGAGCAGGTTGACCGAGTCAGCGCAGCACAGGGCACGGTTTTTTGAATATTTTCACTTTACCTTCCCCGGGCCTAATTTGTCGTTGTGTGCCTGTTGCAGTCGCCAACTTACATCGTAAACTGTCGGCACTTCGCCTGAAATCGATGGCAGCCGGCACAGCCAGAACTCGCTCCTCTCAGTGGAGAACATTTGTTTCCTTCTGTACGCAGTATAAACTGCGAGCGCTACCAGCCACAGAGTAAAATATTGCCTTGTATATTGCTTACTTATCGAAAAGATTAGAATTTCTTACTGTCAAAAATTATGTTTTCAGTTTGGTAACGTTTCACACATTTAACAATTTTGACCCACCTGACCTTAACCATTTCGTCATCAGGCATGCATTGGCCGGGCTGCAGCGCAGTCGCACTGAGCTGCCAAATAAGCGCCTACCGATATTGCCGAGCGATTTGCTAAAAATTCACAAAAATATATGCGTTATAGAAAGGAAGTACCGGCGCTGTTTCTGGGCCGCAACAGCGGTTGGGTTTTTCTCGTTGTTGCGCAGCTCAAACCTGTTTGAAAACAAGTGTAATTCGCACCTGCTTTATCGCGACGTGCGGCTTACGCACGAAGGTGCTTTGTTGTCAGTTACAGTTTTAAAAACTGATCGTTTTCAAAAGAAAACAATCGACATACCAGTCCCCAGACTTGGACGGGACAACTGCTTGTGTCCTAGGGCGGCGCTCAAGAAGGTGATACAGCATAACCGCTTTAATGCTTCGAGCGCTTTGTTTTCTTATTATGATAATGGTACATTGACACCAATGTATTCCAGTCTATACAACCGCCTACTATCCACGTGCGCCCGCATGCCGGCTTTGATTCATCCCGCATTTTCGCCCACTCGCTACGCAGCGGTGCCGCAACATTTTCAGCACAATTGGGGATCTCCGCATCCGCGCTGAAAGCCCAAGGCCACTGGAAAAGCGACTGCTACCAGCAGTACATTCAACGCGATTCCCTTGAACGTTCGGACTTCTGCCACGCCATTCGCGACGCGCTGCTCTGACTCATCGGCCATCTCCTGTTCCTTTTGCATCCACATGTTCCTCTCCATGTCTGTCCTGGGGGTTTGGAGGTTGTTTCGCTACGCGGTTGTGCATTTGCAATAAAGAATATGCCCATTTGCAATAAAGAATATGCCCATTTTAGTAGTTGTTCTGCATGTAACCGGAAACAATAATGGGAAAGATTATGCGCATAATCTGAGTATTATTGTTGGAGGTGGAGTATGTCTGTATTGTTGTGCTGTCTCCTGTCGGTTGTGTGCTGTACCATAACCAATTAGCGAGCACCGTGCACCAAGCGCCCTTGTGGCCAGTTGCCAGCCAGTAGTATAAAAAGGACGCGCTCAGCGTACGGAGCCACATTCGGCACTGAAGTAGCATTCACTGTTGCAATTATTTTGTTTTTTGTTTTCTTTTGTCACGAGGTTGTTTCGCTACGCGGTTGTGCATTTGCAATAAAGAATATGTCCCTTTTAGTAGTTGTTCTGCATGTAACCGGAAACAATAATACAAAACGGTATCTGATATCCATATCTAAATGTTTCATATTCGTAAGTTTTATATAAAAAAGGAGGTAATCTGTAATATCTAAGGCTAATTCAAAAGTAATTATTAAACTATATGATATTTCTCACGAGGGTCTCGCGCTTCTCGATCCCAGATGCATTTGAACGCGAAAGCGTTCTTATACTAGCGGTTCCAGTTTCGCGTCGCCAACAACGACTCGCATCCAGGATCAGAAATTTGAGGTTCTAATAGTTAACAGAATTAACTGCACAATCATCTGCCAACATCTGTCATATATAATAGAGTAGTAATCAAAAAGCATCTTTAAAAAATCGAATTTTAATTTTACACCGGTAAAAGCAAACATTTCAGAGTGTACCCGTTACCGAATCCATTAGGAGGTTTCTCAATTCTCAAAGACGGTTTCTGGGCGGAGACAAACTTGGTACCGTACGTCACACCGTGCAGTATGCGCGGCGGTCCCTACAGCAGAATTTATGTACATACAGAATTTCTGTACATTCTGTACTCTGTTAATCTAGGTGAAACTGGAAATGCGGAGAGTGTACCTACCTATTTACGCGTTATATCCATATGCGTGATGCATTCACTTGAATCCAGTCGGCAAATCAGCAATCATTTGAATTTGTAACCTCAAAGAGAAGTCAGTTGGATTGATGTAGCCTTTCGCCGGATCAAGCAATTCCTAAAAAGACATACGACATATGTCAGTTCTGTGTACTTCAAGGATTTTCCCTGAACACAACTCTCACACCTCCATCGAGATGTATTTCGACGATCCCTTGCTATGCGCGTTCTTGTTGAACAACTTGGACACCTCTGCAAAATCGGATACGCAACAACTTAGTACTTACGGTACAACTGATTATCATGGACCGTAGGAAGAAAAACACAATACTGTATCTGCATAAAAAACCATACGTTTTTTAACTGGAGGGGTTTCCGGTTTCCATGGCAGCAGACAAAGTTCGGCAGCAACTTGACACGCCCAAGAATCGGATCCTGCATAGCCATCACACTGAAGGTAGAAGCCCAGAGCCGGAACTTCACGGTCAATGTTTTTGTTCACCGCAATGTTCCTGCAATGCGACGAGCCGCTGAGGAGTCAACCTCCAGCCACCTTTCTAGTTTCAATTTCCGTTACGTCTACACCTCACCAAAGCAGCTTTCTGACGTTTACGGGATCACTGTACAAAGCCGCTTTCCTGAGCTCCCTTATATCCGGTATCGTATAGTTAATGACACCCTCAGCACGCACGTCTTGAAATACAACAATAAGATAAAGCTCGAAAACGGCGGTAACGCCCATGAACGCACTAACTTTGTCGAGGCTCCGTGCAGAACGACAGCCTAGGTTTGGTTGTAGCGTGCTTGTAGCGGTAGATGTCCCATCCTTCTGATTGCAGCAGCAAACCGCTCTGAAAGGAGCATCAGATATCATACACATTTGACATGTATTTCACAATGTGCATATAAAAAAGGCATCGCTCACGGAAATTAGACTCGTATTACAATTTATCAGGAATAAGAAGGCCACTAATTTCAAATAAAGAAGACATTACTATTGACCTTTAAGACTATCGAAAAGAGATTATGATAGTTGCAAAAAGCGTACATCAGCTGGTCCATCTAGCAGTTGAGCATCGGTCAAGAGCGGAAACCGGATGAGAAACAACGCCCGGCCCAATACTTCACGGCGATTGGCGGACGTAGCGTCGATATCCCTTCGCGCACACATGTTGACAGCCCACCTGACAGAAAACGATTGATAAAAGTAACAGCTTTAAGGAGTACCTTTTCTAGAGTAGTGGAACAGGAACTGCCACAACTGCTTTACTCGTTAACAGCCAAGCAGATGATGTCTTCATTGGCGGTCAACGTATCCCGCTGGAGAATGGCGCATAGCGCCTCCTGTCCAATCGCACAGAATTTTTCCGATACCCAAATAGCTTCTGCGGATTCATCAATCAGACACAAACACTTCTCCAGGATACTCGGCGCAGCAACTGCACAGTGAACCGCCTACACAACTAAGCCGGTTAAGATCTGCTCGGGCAGCATGGATGTAAAGCCCGAAAACACGTACACTGTCCAAAACATCCAGGCAGTTGTCGATGCTAAGCTCAGCAAGGATGAAGTCAGTGCACATGACGACCAACAGTGGTAAGTCGTACTTATCCGCGCAGCCCAGTGTGCCAAAGAGGTTGTCTAGGTTTAAAGACTTCACCGCATCGGTGTAGATGTAACTGCAGAATTTCCGTATTATATTCACTGCAGTAGCAACGAAACACTGTAACGATGTACCATACCTGAGTATGTTAGCAAATGCGTCGGGGTGAACATCAGGAATGTTTATGGGATTTGTGCAGTTCTCTGGCAGGCTTCCATAAAACATATTGTGAAACACAGCGCTGCGAGCACCCAGTATGATCCTGCACAATGAGTTTTACAATTGTAATAGCAGGTTCGATTGTAATGGATGCAGACTGTATAAATTAAAGTCACGAATTGAGCCATCACCGTTCACAGGTACCTGTGAGCCGAAAAAATCTTCACAATGCCTTGATCCCGTCCCACCGCGAACTGGACATCGCTCATGTCGCCACTGTCTAATAGGTGCTTCACACAGTCGCCAATTTTCGCCACCACGGGGTGATTTTCCCCTCCCGAAGATTGCGTGAGATTTTGAGACATAACTTGAAGGATTCAATTTCCAGAGCAATTCAAAAATCCCAGATAAGCAGCTGTACTAATTAATAATATTAATTTTTCGAAACGTTTAAGAAAACAATTCTATGCAGTAGACGGGTTCAAGTACTAAGTGAACTGTTCGCGGACTCATTCGTGGCTAATGAAATGACAAGGCATGCATATCTAATGATTCTTATCTGAATTATTGTGTGATTGCGAGATAAGAGAGCGCTTTTAGGATGAGCGCATACATGGTACGCATAATTCGGTACCCGTACAATGTTTGCACAAGCTCATACTTTTAAGCATCGTTGCTTTATCGTAAAACCGGTCACAACGTTTTAAGAGTCAAACAACAACGTCCAACAACAGCCGACCTAAGAGTTCCAGTATGTGATTGTAATGTGACATTTTATACTTATTCTGCAGCAAAGAAGTGTTTGTGGCGTGCGCCGATAGTTGATACGTGATGCTACCGGAAACCTTTTTTAAGATCCACTCACAAAAAGTACAATGGTTTTTGTCACTTCCGTGCAGTGTCACTGAACGGCTGCAGCAGTGCATTTCTCTTCTCTAACAAGATGATACCGAGTATGTCAACTCGCTTGGGTAGAGCCAAAATGCATTAGCGCAGATAGGAAATGTTGCGAAAATTTTTGAATCACATCAGCTGACTAAGCTGACCGTTATTAGTTTTTCGGCATATGAGGATAACTTTGAGGCACTACCAAAGATAACAATTTGGCATGCAGCTGCTGCCTTATGTCCAGTGTAAAATAGCTACTCGTTAATTCGTAATTGCGGGCGTAACGCAATTAACATTTTTGATGGATCAAGGGAAACGGTATCCGGCATGCGACGTTCTTTTGTGGATACGTTCAGAGACAGTTTCGTGTTGCTGCAAACGACCAGTAGAAAAGTGCCCCGTCGAAAATATTCTTGTAACAGTGCCATCTGTTGTTGCAGTCATAAAATAATCAACGCCCAACGGATCTGTTCCTTCAGTTATCAGCTTGAAATTGTGCAGTAACACGGTTTTTCAGTAATTGACGAACAAGGTGGAGCACATGGCTCGGCCACTGTCTTTCCCACGCTGTACTGCGCTGGGAAATTTGAACTGCCCTGGTTAGTGGAACTATGTTCGATCCTCTATGCGATGGAAGAGCCGAACGCGGACGACTACCTAATGCGCCTGGGAAATATGGGATACATGCATCACATACTGTATTTGCGCGAGCATGTTATTATTAATGCTTCTGGGAATGTGGGCAGAGCGCTAGAGACTTTAACTGTACGATGCGTCCCTACAAGATAGTACATAACTGCTAAATTTCTTTTCAATCAGAGAGCTTAAAACAGTCCCGTCAGGAATGCTGCACAATTATATGCTGCACCACTGTGTGATAAGCAGGTTAACGGACGAAGACCGAGAACTCTCGCCAACCGGGACAGGGCACGATAATAAGCGTTGCTGTTTGAACTGAACTGCTGTAAACATACTAATTTTTTCATTCTGGAAGGTACAGCATCCTCAACCGTAAACGACCCTGATTGATGGTCTTTCCATTCGTATTTGCGTCTCTCACACGTCAGGAAATCACATACACCCGTTTTGTGCATTCTTATGTATGGACACATTGCGCTGCAGTTGCGCAGATGGTCATTTACCAGATCTATCACATATCGACCTTTGTCGTTTTAATCGTAGCGGTACACGTATAAAAATAACTCGATTTTCTTTTTCTTGCTGCACATCTGACCATGGATACATGGAAAGGACTTCCCTACGACATAGAGAAGCTTCAATGCTAGAATTAACGATTATCAGTGGATAAAATAATCGGTAAATTAGCAGAAAAATCGGCAAAATTTCAGCAACACAGTTATTCAGTTTCCTGAGGAGGTTCTGCGGCCAGGTGAACTTGCAGTTTCAACGAGAAGTCACTGGGATTAAAATATCCTTGCACCGGGTCCATCAAATCCTTAGGCCCGAAGAAATATAGTTAACACGACTGCACAATGCAGGATTGTATAACAAAAATATTCTCACCTCCATGTAGATAAAATTTGTGAATCCCCAGTCATTTTCTTTCTTCGAGAACATATGGGAGATCGCTGAAGCCAACACAGATACTTTCGTGAGAGTACAGCCACAAGTACACAGGGCAGAAATAAAAGGATAAGCTGCGCAGTATATTTGTCTTGGTTGTTTAATTTTAAAGCCAGGTTAATCTAAAGAAAAGTAAGCAAATATTCTGCCTATTTGTAAGCAGTTATTGGGTTCCTTGCTTATCGTCCCCTGTTATTAATTGCTACAGAACTAACCACCCCATACATACGTCTTTTAATCGGTGGAGTTTCCGCATTCCATGGTAGCAAGCGCAGCTCCGCTTTGGCCTGACACCTCCAGGAATCCGAGCCGGGCACGCCAGCACAATGCAGAAAATACGCCAGGCCGAAAGATCCCCTGCCAGTCGTCTTACGCTTCATTACATGGATTCTCCTATAACAAAATGTCTACCAAACGCACTTAATGAGAACGTGAGCCTGCTGCTTCTAACCGGCTTGTAATTATAAGTTTTAAAAGAGTCTTTGAGTTAAACGTACGCGAGAAGCTATGAGTCTAATAAAGCTACTTGAGTACCACCGTTTGCGCGATTTTGAAATTCGCAATCATAGCTTCACTGGTGACCTATGTCCAACCAATTCGAGCACTCACCAAGCCAGTTTCCGGACCGTAATGGGATCGCTCATCGTTCGATCCTCCTCCAGCTTCCTAACGTCCGGAACCGTAATACTGATAACGCCCTCAGGCCGCATATCGTCTGTCAAAACGCACAAAAATGTCTGGTAGAGAACGATCTGAGTTTTATTACCAACCGTGTACAACTATACGCACTTTGTCGAGCCTCCCTACGAAACTGCAGCGCCGGTTTGACGGCGGCATGCTTACAGCGGAAGATGTCCCATAACTCAGACTGCAACAGCAAGCCGGTCTAAAACAAAATTTATCCTTCATATTTCTATTTTCGAATGTAAAAATACAGGCCATCATTTAAATCGGTCACCGCTCAAGTCGTTTGCCAACGATTTCCGCAGATTTCTGTTACCTTAGCGGGCCCATCCATCAACTGCGCATCGGCCATCAGCGGGAATCGAACAAGATACAGTGCCGGTCCCAAAATTTCACGTCGATTTACCGCAGAAGCGTCGATTTTCTTTTCCTCGCACGCCTCCGCAGCCCAACTACCAAGAAAAAAACGGCGACTAAAGGTTACCCATAAATTACTTCGCAAAAATGCAGCAGCTGCAGAGTATGCGCAGTAGGCGTGTACGAGGCTTCTGATAATAATACGATTTCAACATTATCATCATATTCACGTAGAAAAACCACGTCCGAATTGCGGAACGAAAACTGTGATTTGCCGTTGCGGAAAACAAGAAACTTTTCGGAAAGCAGAAGTGGCAACATATTGCCGAATTTGAAAGCCCTACTTTTCTATCGATTCATAGATGGTGGCTTCATCGGCGGCCAAAGTCTCCCGTTGAAGAACGATCAGCAGCGTCTCAGGTCTGATGCTGGAGAAACGATCAGACTGCCAGATAGTTTCCGCTGACCCATCAACCAACTGCAAACACCGCTCCATGATGTCCGGCGACGCGCACGTATGCTGAACGGCCTGCAAAAGAAGATGCCATAACTGTCATTGACAACTGTTTGTTCGAGCCCCAATTACATACTAAACTGGGACCGAGAACCAACCTTCTCCAGGATTTCCAGGCAGTTATCGAGGTTGAGCTTATTCAGAATAAATTCGACACACTTCTCCACCAGCAAAGGTAAGTCATACTTATCGGCGCTGTTTAGCGTCGGGAAGACGTTGTCGTCGCTGAGGTTCGGCACGGCATCCGTGTAAATATAGCTACGATTAAAATTAAGACGTGTAGCTTACACACAGCGCAATGCACAAATCGCCGGACAGAGGGAAAATAAATCTGGAAGTCTGCCGGGATGATTAGTTCTATGAACATTTTTTTAAAAGATATTTTATTACCTAACAAATCGAAGAAGCCAGAAAAGCTTTGAAACAAATTCGAAAACTTTAAAGTATGTAAAACACAACTGAAAAACAGTTCGATAATAAAAAATCAATAAAGAATAATAAATAAATAAAGAATAAAAATCTACGGCGCTCCCTGGCTGTCAATTTTTATTAGGTCTTCCGCGAGCGACTTCAAATCCGACCTTAAAAACTGGGAAAAGAAGTGCCGACTGCTCTCCCTCCACTTCAGCATAGACACATACCTTAGCACATTTGCGAATGCGTCGGGAAGAATGTCCGAAATATCAATAGGAGCTGCACAGTTCTCGGGGACGCTTCCGTAGAACATGGTGTAGAATACATCGCTCCGGGCACTCATGATGATTCTGCGCAGTTACACGGTTAGTATAACAAGCAAATATTAAGCAAAAGTGTGCAATAATCGCCAGCGAGACCATAGAACGAAGCAGCAGCCAGCAAGCCACATGTAATGAGAAAGCTACCTGTGAGCTGAAAAAATCCGTGGTGCTCCATAATCCCGTCCCACCGCGAACTGAACGTCGCTCATCTCTCCACGAACTAACACCTGCTTCATACAGTCAGCAATCTTCCCCATACCCCCGCGATTTCCTAGGTTGGAGGAGAGTCTGGAGCTCTGCGCCATGACTGCAGACTGAAGAGATAATCGTGGTCGAACCGATACCTGTTGCCAAGATTATGCAATTGCCTGTTAATTATCCCCTCCAACAAGTTGCGAACGACAGCGCGCAAAAGCAATCGAAGCACAGCGTATTATGTAAATGGAATCGTATTAGTAATATCTCCACTAACAGTAATAATATTATATCCCTATAAAAGTAGGATCCGGAGATTCACGCAACAAAGGGATTTTTAATAAAAACTCGACAGCCGAAAGGATTTGTTTGGGTTTTTACTTTTTGCCAGAAATTTGTAAGCGAGCTACGCATGTAGTCGCCTCTTCGCGGTGGGTGCTGTTGTTCAGGAACACAGTAGCCGAATAGCGAATACAATGCGAGCAAGAAAGGAAGCTACGGGTTTAGGGTATGCGTTGTAGCGAAGACAGCGAAAACCGGTTTGTACAGCTAGTACGCGCACAGACAGCCACACTCATACGTGTGTAAGTGAATGCGAGCGGATTTACCCACTCACACACCACATGTGCGCGATCGATCGATACAGCAAGGCAGCACTCCGCTTGCGCTTTTTAGCAGCACCGGAATGCGCTGTCTTCAGTCTATTTATAGTCACAACAGAGAGGCTGAATTGATCAACCAGCCTCAGCGGGCAAAAAAGGCTGTTCGCTGGCTTTTTAACATAGACCGTAGCCTCCTCATTTAGTCAGATTGTACCTGCCACTCTGCCACTGCCAGTTTGACAGTTTATCAATAATAATTATTATCATGCTGTTAATACCTTGTGATCTGCAACCTCGGCGAGCGCTTACCCGGGGTAGTGAGCGCTGCTGACAAGACAAGGATCGACCGCCCTTGCACCGGAAGTCGAAATGCAACTGCCATTTCCGTTTTGCGCAACCGCTCTTTGTATGTGCGCAGTCCGACCGTACTATTATGGTAATATTATTTGGTTTAGTAATATTATGGTGGGAGCGTTTTTCACTTGAGTGACTTCTTAACAAGCACGAACCGCTTAAATAACGTAAACAGGTAGCTGCGCATTAATGCGCCACAGATCGGACCATGTCGGCGGAATGTAGGCACACTTTGGGAGCGTCATAGTTATTACCACCGCGAATGGGATATCCCCCATACGGACTGGCACCATAACCAGTCATCCGAACTCTAACAAAACTTACAATTTCCATCCACTTCGATCAAGTTGTGAGTTCTTAACCCAGTTACATGTATATACTATGGGGTCTAGGGGCTGCTAACTAAAGAATTCGCGCTGCATTGCTCTATCGGCTGAAAGGCAAATGTACGAGTATTATCAAAGAAACGGTGGTATGTTTAACTATGTTACTATGTGCATAACGGTTTGTAGCGCAAGTCAGGACGGCATCGTACCGATAAGAAACATAAGGATTGATATTCATGCAGGGTATAAAGTACTCTTCCATATGGGAAATCTAGGTAAAACAGGAGATCTAACCAGCTTTTGAGCTACCAGCTGGTTCGCGAATATCTGACAACAAGAACTGAAAGAAAACTGGCCAAAAAACAGACAAGAATTACAATGCGCAATTCGATGATGTGCGATGGATCAAGAAACTTTTCCACAAGGCATATTTCTTTTTAGGTACGCGTTTCACTGCATTCATTCGTTTCAAGCCGGAAGGGTGATACAGTCACTTGAATTTGCAGTTTCAGCGAGAAGTCACTGGGATCGATGTAACCTTTCGTCGGATCCAGTAAATTCTAAAAGTACAAAACGTGCGGGACCCATGAGAGATCAGACCAAGGATTTTCCGTTCAAAACTTCACCTCCATAGAGATAAAATTCCCGAATCCATAACCCCAGCAAGCTCCATTCTTACCAAATAAGTGGGATATCTCTACAAAATACATCGGCTTGTATTAGATTAACATTACGGCATAAACAAGCACAGAAGTACGTTTCTTAATTGGTGCAGTTTCCGTGTTCCACGGCAGCAGACGCAGCTCTGCATTAACCTCGCAAGCCCAAGAAGCCGATTTCGGATAGCTGGAACACACCAGGTAGAAGCCAACATTAGCTTCAGTTTCTTTTCCAACGTGTATATGCCTGTAAAACGATGCGCGTAATTTCGTAAAAATCATCAAGACTGATTAATGATTTCGACTTTCACAAGAGTGACACCCTCACCAGAACAGCTTCCTGGCTGTTACGGGATTGCTCAATGTAAAAATCGCCTGCAGTTTTCTCACGTCCGGAACAGTATAGTTGATCACACACTCTCCGCGTACATCTGGAGGAACCAATAAACAGTGTCTAATCCTTTAGGTATGATTACAATTTTCAACAAACAAATGATCGCTTACTTTGTCGTGGTTCCTTACGGAAGGGCAACGGCGGTTTGATGGCGGCATGCTTATAGTGGTAGATGTCCAGTAACTCCGATTGCAATAGCAAACCAGTCTATGTAAAACAAATTTTCATATATCAAACCTTAACCCTCCAACGCTCACTACCCGAAGGAGTACGAATTTCTTCTTGAAAATTTGGATTTTCCACTGAAAAAATTCAATTAAGAAAAGAAATTTTTGTGTGCTCGTGCTGACCATAGGTCACAGTCACCGGCAATGATGGGGATGTTTGACAACACCATTGGGCGTAGACGGTCCTAATCATAAAAACGTTTAAATCTGTAGTAATTAGGTGAACAGCAGCTGGTCGGAACAAAAGCGTTCATCGTATAGTACATAAACAGCACTTCAAAACAAGGGTACTGGAGTGGTCAATTAACTGACCAGTGGTCAGCAAAATTAAAAAGCCCAAAAAACTGGGTTCCCAATGGACTGCTACTGAATGGAAAACATTATCACCATGATCGGTTATCTTGAATGTTTCGTTGTCCGACACCTAAAACGAATACCCGTCCTTTAGTTTCGTTTGAGGCGATAGCCGACCACCGTGCCGTTCACCTAAACCGATTTGGAAGGGTTCCAGTAACCGGAACCACGTGGAGCATGTAGCAAGCCCGAAAGGAGAGGAGGCCTTATCCGGTTCAAGTATATAATAGGTGTGTCGAATATGCTCCCGCCCGCATTTTAGGACCATACACGCCCAATGGTGTCTGAACGCAACACCCGTTTCTGATGGACTGTGGTCTTTTACAGTTTTATTTTAAGGACCCATGCTGGACATTTTTTAATAAAGCCTTATTGGTTTTACATTACTGAATTATTACAGATTAATTGACTCATTGGCTAATTAGTTAGTTACCAAGACATCCCGGAGCTCAAAAAGATCAAAATGAGCGATTTTCGCGAGCTCGTGGTTCTTGGGTGACTTAGGAGACAAGTTTGGTTTATTTTTTTATCGCAGCCGTAAAGTCTCGTTATGCTAATTACGCTATGAAATACCGAATAACTGCTATAAGTCGCTGAGAAAAACATTTCGAGTACTATGTTGCGTCCTAACGCCAATGGGCGTCAGCGGGTTAATGCCATTTATTGTGGTCCTGTCCGCCTATTTGCTGGGCGTTTAAAAGATTAATACAAGCCATACCAGTACCTTTACAGGCCCATCCAGAAGCTGTCCATCGCTTAAAAGTGGAAAGCCGACGAGAAACAAAACTTCACCTAAAACTTCGCGCCGATTGGCAGAGGTACCGTCCATATCCCTTCGCATGCAGGTTATCTCAGCCCACCTACGGTGAAATACCCATAAATACGAGCTAACGAGCAGAAAGGGAACAGAAGCTGACAAAGGGTGGTTGATGTGCCGCTCACTTGTCGACCGCTGAACAAATAGTATGTTCGTTGGCAGTCAAAGTATCCCGTTTTAGAATCGTTCGCAAAGCCTCTTGGCCGATTGCACAGAACTGATCCGACTGCCAGATAGATTTTGGTGACTCATCAATCAGGCACAAACATTTCTCCAAGATACTCGGCGCGACACCAGCATAGTGCACAGCCTAGCAAAAACAATTCCACAATCAACATGTTACAGCTCGGTTAGCGGTTAGCGAGGAAAACTTGCGTTGTCTAGCACGTGAAGGCAGTTGTTTAAGTTGAGCGTGCCCAAGACAAAGTCGGTGCACATAGTCAGCAGCAACGGTAAGTCGTATTTGTCAGCGCATTTCAATGTGTCGAATACGTTGTCCTGGGTAAAATTCGTCACCGCGTCGGTGTAGATGTAACTGCACAATACGGTGCAATGTCATGTACAGTATTCGCTGTAAATTGAACGAAATGCTGCGTTGCAAACTTACCTAAGCATGTTAGCGAAGGCCTCGGGATGAATATCAGGAATATCCAGGAGATCTGTGCACATATCGGGAAGACTTCCATAGAACATCGTATGGAACACAACGCTGCGCAGACCAATTATGACCCTGCAGAAAGAATTAATCACAAATTCAGAAATAAACTGAGCAAATTTGGCCATCATGGCTCATGAGCGAGGACCCATCAACTGCTAACACAAATCTAACGCTCACCTGTGAGCTGGAAAGATCTTTACCGCGCCGTGATCGCGTCCCACCGCGAATCGAATGTCGCTCATGTCTTCGCAGAGTAAGATGTCCTTTACACGGTCGGCAACCTTCGCCACTCCGGCGCAACTTTCCGTAGCCGTGGATTGTGCGGAATTTTGAGACATGACTGGAACGATTGTTGACAAATGGATCCGAATTACATCTGCTACAGACTGAAGCTCGACGTGCACGTTACAGACTGCAGAACACTCAAAACCACAGAGAAGCAGCTGATCTTGATCGGCCAAGGTTTCAAAAATCTGAGTACGCTGGTGAAAATCGGAATAACGAAGGTGCGAAACGAAAACTGGAGTGGTGGCTTTTGCTAGGAGTGGCTCTTGCTGGTGAGTGGTGACTGGTGAGTCACTGGTGACGCTGCAAATTTTTGCGTCGTACAGTGCCGCTCTCCCGATGGCGGTGGGCTGCTTCAACTCAGCCCAGCAACCAGTGTGCTTAGTGCTTACTGCTTAGTAAGCACTGCTTACTAAACAGATACGGTACGTTTTGTCGATCCTCCAAGGGCTGCGGTGGCCAGCATCGTAGCCGTGGGTCGTAGTCGGCAGATGAGCTGCGGCTTGCGGCGTGTGCATTATGAGCATAGGCATGAAAACGACGGAAGACGCGTGGTGCATTGACGTCTTTGTCGCAAACCCTGGAGGGCTGCCGGGTCATTGTGGTACTTCATGGAACTGAGTCGCGACACGGATGTGCGACGAAGGCACCGACAACATCTTGATGAAACACGATAAATCCTTTTTCTGCGCCCACGCCTACCCACATGCAGAAGATAGTCACCGATTGTGGAGACCAGTCGGCGCGCCGGCCGGTAGCCGGTCCGGCAACGATTTGTCGGCTTTGAAGACTAAAACATACTGGTGGACAAAACGAGTTGCAGTAGGTCTTCGTGCCAGGTAACGGCGTGTTGCATGATAGACGGCGACAGGGATTACCGTGGGTATCACCGGAAGTGGCGTCAGCAACCAGGTCGTATATATCGTGCTGCTGGACGTTCTGCGGCAGATTACCGTCCACAAGACTAACAGTTCCGGCTGACTGCTGAAATAATTTCATGCAGCACGCACTTAGATGTTATAATTTCGCCTCAATTTAAGCTATTAATTTGGAACGTTGTCCTCGATTTTACATAACAAGTACCGCCACCGAGCGGAATCGCATGTAACCGTATCAGTGGCTCACTGGCTAAAGCAGTTACATGATACTCTAAAATAATTAGTTTCTGAAAGCAGTTACTTTTATAAAGAACATGTTCCTTTGCCAAACTGTTTCGCATGTAATATGAAACTTTAAAAAGTAACGAAGTGTCGGAGAGCTTCTTATGCATATTCCTTCGCGAAATTCTGTATGGATTGACAATTACCAAGAACAAGGATTTTTTACGCCAGTTTGCTTAACCGACAGGAAAAGCAGATGTACTCGTACTACCATAGAATATTAATTTTAAAGCGCGTATGTACAAACTCGTAAACTGCATTTGTGTGTGTGGCGATTGTGTACTGATTTTAGTGAATTATGTACGTGTCTCACGGGAAAGCGAAAATTTATTTCAAACACAGGTTCTGTAAGTTTGTAACCAACACATCGTATTTAATTCTTTAGAAATAAATTTTAACTGTAAAGTAGTGTGCCCGCGCTTGCACTTTTGTTGTTATGGCGGCTATTGCCCAATAAACAGAGTTATTCTTTAGAATTATGCAGTCAACAATCAACTTACAGTGAGTAATAAATCAACATTTTATAATCCCAGTTAGAACTAATCATCTTATGAGCTTCTGGGTTATTGCAGATTTAGTAACGCGATCGAGTTGGTAAAATTCGTTGACGAATGAAAAATCACTCCATCTCTGGACGCGCAAAGAATTAAGAAACTCACAACCGTTCCGAAGATAGTGTTGTTATCGTAAGAGCTTGCCGTCTTTTTTAGGTCGCACAGGCGCATCTTTCAAGCGATTCCTTCCGGAAGGTCAGCAGTGACTTTAACTTGCAGTCTGACGGAGAAGTCAGAAGGGTTGACGTAGCCTTTCTTCGGGTCCAGCAATTTCTGGAGAGCAAGTAGTTTCCGTGAATAATGGGTAGTCGGGTACGAAATTACCAAGAAGGCAAATGAAATAGAGATTTGTGCACATCAACCCTTACCTTCATAGAAATATATTTCCCACCATAGGCAACTGCATTCTCGCCAAAAATCTCGGAGAAGTCTACAAAGTGTACAAACTTGTACAAAGGTTATAGTTATGGTTTATCTGAAACAGCAGATAAATACACAAAACCCTCATACTTCTTTTAATCGGTGTAGTTTCCGTTTTCCATGGCAGCAGGCATATGTCTGCATCAGTCCGTTACTCCCAGGAAGCCGATTTCGGATAGCCCGAACAGCACAGGCGGAAGCTAAGAAAAGCAGACTCGCCCTGCGTCTCTTTCCTGACGCGAATGCCCCTACAAAACGACGGCTGTCAGTGGCAATAATGTTCCGCTGGTCCCTGTTTTCGGTATGTTGACGCCTTACCAAAGCAGTTTTCGGACTGTTATGGGTTCACTACCTGTAGCCTTCTCTTGCAACTGTCTGGCATCGGGAATCATATAACTAATGATACCCTCAGCTCGTACATCTGGAATTATTAAGCAGTACTAAATCTGTGGATGTTATTTTCGCTAAACGGATTAGCGCACTAACTTTGTCGGGGATCCGTTGGGTAAGGCATCTGCGCCTTGGTAGAGCCAAGCTTACACAGGCGGATGTCCCGTGCCTCTTATTTCAGCAATAGTCCCCACTAAATAAAAAAAAACACAGAACTTCGCTTTCCCGTTTGAGTGTTCCGTGAGCTTGCTCTCTTTTACTCGGCCTGCCTGCACTCATATCGCTGCGCCTGCCGGCCATCGCAAATTTACACTCACTAAAAGGGTTAAATGCTTACATTTCTTTACATATGGCTTGATATAAAAGACAGACAAATGGGTGCAAAAAATGTACTGTACCTTGACTGGCCCCTTCAGTAATTGAGCATGGGACAGAAGCGGAAACCGGAGGAGTTGCAACGCCTGACCCAAAACTGGGCGCCGATTGCTGGTGGAATCGGCCATATTTTGTTGCATGCACATTTTCACAGCCCACCTGTAGAGAAACGATAAATTTCAGAGATCTCCCGTGTTAGTAAGAAAACGGCAGTTAAACCGGGTTTACTTGTTAACAGAAAAACAAATGGTGATTTCGTTGGCTGTCAAAGTGTCCCGCTGGAGAATGACTTGGAGAGCCTCTTGACCAATGTCAGAGAAATTCTCCGAGTACCAGATACTTATCGCTGATTCATCAATCAGGCACAAGCACTTTTCCAAGATAATGGGCGCAACACTTGCATAGTGCACCGCCTAAAAAACACATTATTTTTAGAAACGCAACACATTTGAGTCCGGCATACGCCGTACGCCGTGGATATCCGAGAAGCCCTACTTTGTCCAAGATATCCAGGCAGTTGCCGGCGTTAAGTGCGTCCAGGACGAAGTCAGTGCACATTGCCACCAGCAACGGCAGATCGTACTTATCAGCGCACCGTAACGTATCGAAGACGTTGTCATGGGTGAAATTCGTCACCGCGTCGGTGTAGATGTAGCTGCAAAAATTAAGATGTTTTAGCAATACATGGAAGACAATTTGCTAGAAGCGCAGCCATACGTAAGCATGTTGGCGAAGGCCTCATGATGAATGTCGGGAATGTCGATGGGAGCTGAGGAGTTCTGCGGTAAGCTTCCATAGAACATTTTATGGAACACGGCGCTCCGGGCATTCATAATAACCCTATATACAGATACAGACTATAATCCTCAAGGTAATCAGACATAAATCGACAAAACATTCTGTAAAATATGAATACAAGGTTAACAGCTCCGCATCCGAGGATCTCACCTGTGAGCTAGGAATAACTTCGTTGCGCCATAATCACGTCCCACCTTGAACTGAACATCGCTCGTTTCCCTGCAGCCCAACAAGGGCTTGATACAATCACCGATTTTGGCGATCGTGACGGAATTTACGAAGTGAGTCGTTGTTGGATTTTCAGACATGACAGCAAAAATCGGCATCGAGTTGTGTGCTGTTTATTCGGACTTCGCAGTACACTTCACAGTTCACAGATATGGCCGAATATTAAACATTTCGAACGAAATAGTACAGAACTCGTGATCCAGTATTCAATGCGAATCAGAATCGAATGCTGCAAAATATAAAACCTGAAAGCTCGTCGCTTATGATTCTGGGTCATCTGGCAAGCAGCTACCAAATCCAGTACGACTGTCCGAGCAGATCCTGTTGTTAGCGAAACGTGTGCTCGCATCAGTGCGCGGTATACACTAAATTGCTCATAAGTCTCATCACCCGGCAAGTGTCTTCACACGAGTACGTATCATTCTCTTTACGACTTGGGCACTGCCCCGTCTAAAATATCCTGAACGTGTCCCATCCAAACGTTCTCTGTTGTTCTTGAACTTATCTTAGTAAATCGTTACTTTACTGACTTTACTAGCGTCTTTTCATCTGCTATGCATGTCTCATGACGCAAACTGTGTTACGTAGGGACATTAAACTCTTCTTAATGAAAAGCAGAAAGTGAGCTTGGCAAAGGATTCTGTGTGTACAGCTACCTGAATGGAAGGCATTTCTTAAACGTGTGTCGACGGCGAAGGCAAAAAAACGGAGATTCCATTCAACTAAAGAAAGAAGGTAACAACATAAATAATTATGATTCATCTGTGAAATACTTTTATGCATTTATGATACCTGTATCTTGTTTGTAGCTTATACATATCTGTATGTATGTGAAAATATGTAGGTTTGTAATGTAATGCAGATGAGTCCATTAGGATCAACTGGCGTAATCCAAGACACGCGGCTTCAACTAAAGCGCATGCTTTCTGTTTCTTTACTAAACGATTTGTGCTCAAGTTGTTCCCTCAACCAAACGGAACGGTGTTACGTGTATGGAATATTCGCAACGCATATCGAAGCGGTAGTGTAACGATACAACAAGAGAAAAATCTTTCAGGAATCCCAAATTTAAACGAAAACACAACTCTTCTGTCACGCGCGTGTCCTTGCTCCCATACATCCAAACATGCCCGGGATTCATTCGATCCCTACAGGGAGATCCGCATTGACATAGACCTGCAGTTTCAAGGAGAAGTCACCAGGATCGACATAACCGTTCGATGGATCCAGCAAATCCTGCGTATACACACATTTATCAACAATTATGTAGCTGAAGAATTACCGCAAAAGCCCTCACCTCCATTGAAATGTATTCGGAACATCCCCAGCTACATGAATTCTCGTCAAACAACTGGGACATCTCTGCAAAATTTCATAACAACCTCGCAAATATGTACCACCGATTTTCTGAGGATACAGCAATAATCGTATAGTTAAACGTGCTTACTGTGTTCAATTGGTGCAATTGCCGCTACCCACGGAAGCAGGCGCAGCTCCGCATTAACTTTGCACGTCCAGGAGGTCGATTTCGGAAAGCCAGAACAATAAAGGAAGAAGCCGAGAGCAGCAGATGACCCGACAGTTTCCTTCACAATCACGATTCTCCTGCAGAACGACCTACGTCTTACCATCAACCTTTTGGATATATCAACTGTGTTCAAAGTTGGCACAGTTAATTTTGCATCAGCGAATCCCTTACCACAGCAGCTTTCTGATCGTTACTGGACTGCTGTACGCAGGCTTCGTCTGCAGCTCCCTCACATCCGGAATTGTAAAGTTAATGACACCCTCAGCGAGAACATCTAGGAAATGCCAAAACATGCATAAAATACGAATGCGGTTGTCAGTTACCGCTCTCAATGTGCTAACTTCGTCGGGGTTCCGCACAGAACGGCAGTTGTGGTTTAATGGTGCCCTGCTTACAGAGGCTGATGTCCAGTACTTCCGATAACAGCAATAAACCGCTCTGCATAAAACGCAGCAATTTAGCTAGCCAGTTTCCGATGTAATCCGGCGGCTCAGTTTTTTGTCGTCGCGTTATTCAAAGCTTGCTGAGGAACAACTTATCAATCGGAGAGAAGACCGTACCTTCACGGGCTCATCCAGCAGCTGTGCATCCGTCAACAACGGGAACCGGATGAGAAAAAACGCCTGGCCCAATGCTTCACGCCGATTAGCGAATGTTGCGTCCATGTTCCTTAGCGTGCACATTTTCGTAGCCCACCTGCCAGAAAACGGCTGTTGCAAAACCGATAAAAGCCATAAATAGCACGCACTCGCTTTAAAAAAGGAATGCAAAGACCGCTGAACCGCTACCTGCCAACCGCTGAACAAATGGTATCTTCGTTGGCCGTCAACGTATCCCGTTTGAGAATGGCTTGTAAAGCCTCTTGCCCGATTTCACAAAACTGATCCGACTGCCAAATAGTCAACGGTGATTGATCAATCAAAGCCAAGCACTTCTCCAGGATCTTCGGCGCCGGACCTGCATACAGCACCGCCTACAAATTGCATTTTTTATAAACTCAGGCAGTTCATGGTAGCAAACTAGAAGACCTACATTATCCAGAATTTGCAGGCAGTTGTTGAGGTTGAGCGTGTCCAGGACGACGTTGGTGCACATCGCTACCAGCAACGGCAAGTCGTACTTGTCAGCACACTTCAACGTGTCGAAGACGTTGTCGTGGGTGAGATTCGTCACCATGTCGGTGTAGATGTAACTGTAAAATTCTGTGTTATCAGATATACGCTGCAACGACCACGAAACGCGGTAGCTCGTACCTTAGCATGTTCGCAAAGGCGTCGGGATGAGCGTCGGGAATGTCAATGGGAGCTGAGCACTTATCGGGCAAGCTTCCATAGAACATTACGTGGAATACAGCGCTGCGGAGGCCCATTAAGAGCCTGGATAACAAAGCAGGGTACGGAAACGAAGGCTCATCGGATTTGATGGTCATTGATGGATGAAAGAATACTCGTATACGGTATACAAAATCGAAGATGAAAACTGTAAGCTTACTTGTGAGCTGGAAAGATCTTCACGGCGCCATAATCACGTCCGACGGCGAACTGCACATCGCTCATGTCTTCACAGAACAGCAGTTTCTTTGCACAGTCGCCAAGCTTGGCCACCTCGGCGCGACTTCGCGCGTTCCATGTTGGGAAACAGGTTCGGGACCTTATCCGATTCGGAGGCACTGCGAACCTTCGGATCGCATGGAACACGGTTCGAAGAGAACCTCCCAGAGCCGTCCCAAAGACACGTAAGGCATTGATTTTAACCAGCCAGAATCTCAGAGATCTGACGAGTTTATTCCCGAAATACGAAAGGATGAAAGTAAATCGAAAAGACATCACTGAGGAGTAAAACAAAGCAGTAAACGTGTTAAAAAGCGTGTTTTGATTTTTTTGAATCAGAACTTTTGATTAGGCTAAGGCTATTTTGCCGCAAAAACTGCGGCAAAATAGTCACTCCGTTTTGATTACGGGAACGTTAATTTCTCTTGACGCTGTCACGCTGCACGGTATCACGTACACTGCCTCTCACCCGTTGGCGGTGGGCAATATCCACCCACCAGTGGATAGTGGACAGTAATCATTTCAACAAATACGAGTCGAGTCGTACATCTATTTCTTTAGAGTCCAGACTCTCTTGATAGTTTTCGGCATTATTAGTGGCAGACATGTCTTTCAAAATTAGTGCACAGTTCCATGACACCACCAGAACACCGGAGCGATCATGATGCAGTTGTCACAGGGAATGGCGAGTTCCTTTTGTGGCGATGCCGCTTTCCATGGAAGCGAGCATGATATGTGCCAATGGGGAGAGATGGTCGTCGCGTCGTATAAGACGTGGTGGACGCGCCCATGATCACCGAGAGAAATCCCTCCTCAACCGATGCACCTTCTAACCAAGGACAGGCGTCGACGAGACCAAACCGCCCTGTCACGACGTGAAGGAGCGATCTGCTCTTTATTTCATCGTGAACTGAATACAACAAACAAAGGGCAACAACAACAATAATAATAAGGCGAGACAATCTCATGGCACGTTGCCATGGGATTGGGCAATATGGAAATCTCGTGACGCCATACATTACACGCCCCATGCCATGCTAAAAGATAAAGGGGCTGCGCTGAGCTGATTCATGCGCTTTATTCGCGGCAGACCTACCCATATCGCCTGTCTCTTCATTGCACGACGGACGCAAACTTCTTCGCCGCCATCGTGTCCTCCAGTAGGCTCAGAGTCTAAAACCATCCACTGCAAATTTCAGGTAGTAGGTCAGAAGGTGACACGCCCAATGCCCACTTCGATCTGAGCACTCAGCTGCAGCGTCAATGTTAATGTGCAAGACGGTGGAGGAAATGGCCAAACGGCTGAACAATGATGAAATATATGTAACGAACGGCATAATTTTTTATATTGTCCGCTCGGAACAACAGCAAAATACCAACTAAATACACACAACGTAGCAACGCTGGTACTTTCATCGTTGCTACGGCACGATGGGACGTTGTCGTCCGCGGCTATGATCTGCGGGAGACAAGCGGGAGACACACACGCCTTCTTCGTCGCCTCGAACGAAACACATCGTTCATGGCGGGCTGTCGGAGTGCAGGCGCCGTGGTCATCGCAGACGGCGTTAGCGATTCGCCGGCTTTGAATGAACTCGACTTCGATGGATGCTGAAGTTGGCGAACCGTCAAGGACAAAGAAATTTACTACTTTATCGACGTCACTGCCAAGGGCATCACCGGAAGTGGCTTCTGCAAGCAGGAAGCGGTCCTTAATCTTGAGTGGCGCAGACATCAATCTATGTGACAATTTTAATGACTCAGTCGCTTGTTCGCACGGTGTCGGCATCAGCCGGTGTAATTCTGGACTTACCATGGGACACATGGTGCGTACTGCAACGCGCACTGAGACGGTAATTGAGTACTGAAACGGAATCCTGCAGCAAAATTCTTTATCTGATCCTCAAACAAGCATCATTTCATGACTCTCAGTCAATCAAGTTATAAGATCCTGATCAGCCAAAAAGTTTGTACGAAATCCTTGCATATAAGTGTACTTCGGTTCACGATGTGCGAACAATTTCCTGGGCGGGCGACGTTCAGTAACCTTTGCATATTGTAACTGACCCTACACTTTGGCAATAAATCATTGAATTTCTTTGATATCTTTTTTCAACGCCTTAAATTTTAGTTTAAGCTGCTCTGATTTATTGTTTAACATTTCAAGCTTCGTTATTCAGCCTACTCTGTACTCATTACTGTACAAAGCAATGAGCGTTACAAGTGTACTCTGAATGAAATTTGGCACGGTCCGCACAGTCGCACAGATATGCAGACTGTGCTGTACTCATGTACCGTCAAAACAACATAATCGCTTCAGGACGAAATCTTCAACCAACACATGGCACTGTTATTCTAATCAAACAATTTTATAATCTGTACACGACCGATCTCATGATCTCACTATCCTACGAGCTCCATGATCGAACCGAAGAACTGATACAAAACCCGACAGCGTACATGAACGATTTCGCCATCCCTCCATGCACCAGGAAGCGAAAAACCATTTCTGGAGCGATTTTAGTTTCGTATTCCTTATTTCGCGTTCCTTATTCCTGGCGCGTCCGTATGCACACTTCAATCATTCGATTCCAGTAGGAAGGTCAGCAGTCACTTTGATCTCCAGTCTCAAGGAGAAGTCACTAGGATTGACGTAGCCGTTATCCGGATCCAGTAATTCCTTGAAGCAAACCCTTATCATTTGGTGAACAATGTGTACTGTAGCCTCTAGATGAAACTGCAGTTATGCTTAAAACTGCAATTATGCGTTTCCCGTGCAACACACTAACCTCCATAGAGATAAATTTCCTGTATCCCCAGGCCAATGATTTCTTGTCAAACAGCCGCGACAATGCTAGATGAATCAAGAATATTTTTGCGAGTATGACAATCGTGCTGTGGTAGCGGATGATCAACATCAGTATGCATACGTTTCGTAATTGGCTCAGTTTCCGTTTTCCAAGGCAGCAGTCGCAACTCTGCATTAACATGGCACGTCCAGGAATCCAACCTCGCATAATATCCAGTACATAGTAGGTAGAAGCCCAGAGCACCGTGCATTTTTTGTGCAACGCCGATACCCCTAAAAGGAAACCCTGTCAATTGCTATTGTCTTCAAAGTACAAGTAACAACTATCGATTGGTAATTCCAGAGCAAGCCTCCTACCAAAGCAGCTTTCTCACTGTTATAAAATCGCTGGTCGCATGCTGGTCTCGTAGTTCCCTCAAATCCGGAATAGTATAATGAATAACACCCTCAGCGCGTACATCTGGAACAGACGCCAACATTATTATAGTCAATTTATGGACGAACAAATGGACCTTGGTACATTCATAGCTTCGCTGGGCAAGGGCTACAATTTTCAAAAAACACGTGAGAGCGCTAACTTTGTCGGGGATCCGTTCGGAACAAGAGCTCCGGCTTGGTAGTGGCATGTTTATGGAGATATATGTCCAGTGCCTCCGACTGTAGCAACAGACCACTCTGAATAAAGCAAAAAATTTCACCAAATACATTTAGTTTCAATTGCACTTTAAAGGTTTCGTAGTTCACCGTGTACTAGACTTATCGATCGCTCCAAAGGTCCCTAGCTACATACATTGTAGATAGTCCCTGGCCAGGGGTGTAAAACTAATTAACAAAGTGGCCCTAAATCGATGCATATAACGCACCTTAACGGGACCATCTAACAGCTGAGCTTCGGTCATGAGCGGAAATCGAATGAGATACAGCGCCTGGCCCAATACTTCACGTCGATTGGCGGGGGTAGCGTCCATGTTCCTCTGCGCGCACATGTTTGCAGACCACCTTCAAAACCGTATAATAAAAGTCAAAGATAAGACAAGCGTTGCAGTGTCTTACTGCTCAAATAATTGATTTACTCGTTAACAGACGAACAGATGCTATGTTCGTTGGCTGTCAAAGTATCCCGTTGCAGAATGGCTCGTAAAGCTTTCTCCCCGATCGTGCGGAACTTTTCCGACCGCCAGATAATTACTGATTCATCAATCAAACACAAACACTTCTCCAGGATGCTCGGCGCGGCCTCTCCAAAGTGCAGAGCCTAGGGATCAACGATTCTCAATAAATATGAGACAGCTCAATGCAGCATAACCTACTGAGATAACCTACGCTGTCCAGACTATCCAAGCAGTTGTGAACGTCGATCGTGTCCAGGACGAAGTCCGTGCACATGGTCACCAGCAACGGTAAATCGTACTTGTCAGCGCATTTTAACGTGTCGAAGACGTTGTCCTGAGTGAAATTCGTCACCTTATCGGTGTAGAGGAAGCTGCGCAAATTGTGCGGTCATGTACAGTACTGGATGCAAAAGCAGCAAAATTTGCACGTCAGAAGAACCTCAGCATGTTGGCGAAGGCGTCCGGAAGAATGTCCGGGATGTCGATGGGACCCGTACATTTATCCGGGAGACTTCCGTAGAACATGGTTTCGAAAACAACGCTGCGAACACTAAGGACCAATCTACATAAATACACTGACAATAATTCTAAATGGCTGTAAAACGGAATCGAGGCGGAGGAAACGTATTGGCAAACTATGGATGAATGTGCTGGAAAGCGTGCAGTAATGTATTTAACCAATCCTCAGTCACTCAGTCAGTCAGTCCTCACCTGTGCGCTGGAAAGATTTTTGCTATGCCATAATCACGTCCCACCGCGAACTGAACATCACTGATTTTCCTACAGGCCAGCAACGGCTTGAAACAATCGCCAATCTTCGCCATCCTGCCGTGATTGTATACGAGTAGTTCGAGGATGGCGCGGGATTTTCAGACACTGGAGAGTTAGCCAGTACTACGGATAACACTTTGCAGGCGGCGCAGGTCAGAATCTGAATACCAGTCAAATTTAACGAAATAGCGCAGAAACAGGGATCGCTAGTGTTAGTCGCAACCTGACCAATCCACGTTCAGAATCCAAAATGGGAAAGGTGATTCAAAGTTCCGAGATATAGATATAAGATTTCGTCGTAAGCACATAATTTGAATTTGAACATTCTCAACGGATGCGAACGAAGTCAAACTGCAGAACAGATTGCACGCGTTTAGTGCAACCACAGAGTATTGTGACTGCCGTTTCTGTGGTCAGCAGAATTCGTGATTTGCGGCGGAGTGGCAGCCGCCAGAGACGTTGCTTCGCACATCACTGACTACAGGAATTTCGCAATGCGGCAAAATGAAACTGCGCATACGCTACCCGGCTACCGCCATCGGCATCGCCCCACAATTTACAGAGCACTTTACACTTTTTTATGGAGCATGCGCTTTTCTATTCGTAGAGATTGGTTTTCCGTTAGTGTAGATGTACATGAAACATCATCTTGCGAGCGCGCGCTTTTTAAAAAGTGACCGGAAAAGCCCGTGTCGTTACGGGCCGGACTACGCTGACTTCTCGGCATCTCATAGGCATCTGACTTCCAACCACCCCGAAACGGCGTGTCCACGCAAATCACGAATGCTACCCAGCTACTGCACCTTTGGGCGGTAAGCTACTCAGAATCGAAGGTTCGTCATCGCCCCGCAGGTGACATCTTGAGGTTATAAATCGTGTCGGCGGCAGCTCTTTGAACATATCACACACGATCCGCTCCCCGCACCTTGGCCGGTGTACTAACTACTGTGCTAATGGCCTAATGCTGTGTATCAAGTATTGTAAATTTGTACGTACTGCTGATAGAAAATGGAAATGTTAGTGTTTTGACTGTTTTGTTTGCGGAGAATTTCTGGGTTAATATCTTTATATAAAAGGTTCACAGGGTGGCTTAATGCCAAGTGAACAGTTGGCTCTGGTCTTGTAATGGCAAACTAGCTAGTCTTCCGCTCTACCGTAATAAGTATAGCTATTGCCATTTAAGTACACTCGGAATATTCTGTGCCTTGTTGCACAATCTACAATTCTGATACCCAACACCAAAGTCAATCGGTACTAATGAGTAAAACAGAATTTATTATTTCAATTTTCAAGGCTGTATCGGCCTCCAAAATACTTCATCTAACGCTACTTAACTCAATCAGACAACTTCGCAAGTTCGAGCTAATCGGAGATTTTGCCAAAGACATCGTCGGTTCAAGAACCATTGAAAAAACGAAATACTTCTTTTATTCAACGGTGCGTGTCGAAACCCAGACATTACCTATATTTAATAACAGTCTTATATTTTATATTAGCCAAAATATTGTTAGTCAGATTACGCCAGTCCTGACCAAGGGCGTTCAATCAACTCAGAAAGGGAGGTCAGCAGTGAGCTTGACTTGCAGTTTAAGCGAGAAGTCACTAGGGTTATAACCCTGCTCAAGGACTTACTGGACCCGACGAAAGGATACGTTAATTAATTAACGTATCCTTTCGTCGGGTCCAGTAAGTCCTTGAGCACAAAACTTATTATTCTATGGTCCTATTTTAATCTGTGGTCCGAGAAACATTACCTCGTATGCTATAGGTTTCGAAGTTCCATAATTCCTATTTCCCCAGTCAATTTCATTTTTGCAGAACTCATCGTATGTCGCTGAAGCAAGCATATGTAAACGAACGTTTTACCGGATATTCTGTCTGAAGAGTGCTGATAGCGGTCAGCAAAACATACTTTGACTAATGGGAGCTAACTCCGCTTTCCATGGTAAAATTCGGAGTTCTACAACAGCTTCACATTTCCAGGAGTCCGAATTCACCTCAACATCACATTTTACAAAACAGCCCCACTGAGTCTGAGAAGACCCTGTCTTGGTGCGCTTCTTAACCAGAATTCTCCTGCAGTACGATTGCCCTTTAATCACATTTCGTCGTTTTATCCTCGTAGAACGACTCACCAAGGCATCTTCCGAATTACGACTGGATCGCTCAACGTTTCGCCTTCCTCCAGCTTTCTGACATCTGGCACCGTAAAATTGATGAGGCCCTCGGTTCGCGACTCATCTGCAATTAAGACCACTCACTGAAAACAAATCTATGCAATTACTCGGCAGTCTTCGTTTACTGCGTGAATGTGCTAACTTTTTCGGGCCTCCGTGCGGAACGGCAGCTCCGATTTGACATCGGCGTGCTTGTAGCGGAAGATGTCCAATAGCTCCGATGGAAGCAGCAGTCTGAACAAATTCATAACGGGGTTAACAAAGATCGTATAATTCACGGGAAAAGGAGGGAGAAGCAAATGGATTTACGAAAACTGCTTTGTTTACTTTCTCTCGACCTGTTTGTCAACACTATTTGCCTTCTTGCAAAATGTTAACACGAGAGACAAGATTGTCTGAGACAAATTCTATAACTTTGCCGGTTCCTTGCAACGCCACCGACAAAATAAGTAACTAAGTTTATTGTATCGAAACCATTGGGACCGTCTGCTGGTGGCGGCTTCCTATTGGACATTCCTACGGAGGTTGGGTAACTTTTGTCTAAACCTTGACCGGTTTGCTTCTCTATACAGCCATCGATATGAGACTCAGAAAACCAAAACAAAAAAGCTATGTTTTCTAGATTAATCCGAATTAGTGTCTACCGATGGCCCGGGAAAACGCATTTACTTGAAGGAGTTGGCTACCGTTGTTGGATAATACTAATACTTCTAGTGATACAAAGTGCAGAAGCTCGTCAGTGCCTTGGCGGGGCCATTCATAAGTTGTGCATCGGTTAACAGCGGGAAGCGGACGAGATACAATGCCGCGCCCAACATTTCACGCCGATTGACGGCTGAAGCTTCCATATTCTTCTGGCTACAGGCGCTCACAGCCCACCTGCCAACTTGCCGATTTTCGCCTTGAAGCTGGCTGAAATCGTACAGCGTGTCGTACGCGGCCCACTTTAACTACTGGTTGTATATATGCTGTTTGTATTCTGTCTTTGCTTCCATTATTATTATTATTATTACTATTATTATCTTCCTGGAGCAGACAACCAGTGCTCCTTACTTTTCAACCGACGAATAGATGGTCACTTCATCGGCGGCCAGCGACTCTCGTGGAAGGATAATCTGCAACGCCTCTTGTCCGATGGCTGTGAACTGATCCGACTGCCAGACGCCTTCCGCGGATGCATCAATCAAACGAAGACACATCTCCATGATATTGTAGTCGGCATCCTCCACTATGGGTGGGGTATATTTATAACTAACGGCCTACAGAAAGACACAAATTTACTAGCAGAAACGGAGCAACCTGCCCATGATACCTACCTTGTCCAGTATTTCTTGACAGGTGTCCCTGTTGAGCTTGTTTAGGATAAAGCGGGTGCATTTCCGAACCAACGACGGTAAGGCATTTTTATCGGCGCAGTTCAGTGTCTCAAACACATTGTCCTCGGTGAGGTTCGCCACGGTATCCGCGTAGATATAGCTACAGTAGTAACAAAATCCGCTCATTTTGATGGGTACCCAGTACGTCCACTGCTCCATACAGGCATACACACAGGTACTCACAGCATATCATGCAACACCACCAATCGGACACTATCTGTAGTATTACCTGAGCATATTAGCGAAGGCGTCAGGAAGAATATCGGGAATACTAACGGGATTCGCGCAGTTCTCTGGCAGGCTTCCATAGAACATGGTGTGGAACACGTCGCTACGGGCAACCATGATGACTCTACACAATAGTAACCTAGGTATCAATCAGAACAGAGAGCCGCCATCGCATGTGCAGCAGAGTAAGCACCTGTGAGCTGGAAAGATCCTCACTGCGCCATACTGGCGTCCCACCGCGAACTGAACATCGCTCATTCCGCCACAATCTAACACCTGTCGCAAACACTTTGCAACCTTTGTGGCCTCACCACGATTATTGCGGTTGGGAGGCTCTGGGAAGCTTTGGGACATGGTTGCTGTTGCAAAACGCAAATCTGCTGCAGCCTGCCAGGGACTATTGAACACTGTAACACAAATACAATCCTGTTCAATAAGCTCCGAACGAAACAGCAGACAATAGTGAGGATAAGGACCCTGGAAATGCTGTCTATCGAAGAAAACCAGATAGATGAAAGGTGAAATGAATTACAAGAACAAACGATAAGCATTCAACATATCATACGACGTAGAGAATCCATCACGGTGGACGCGGATGATCTGACCAGTTCGTAATGTCGATTTGCAATGCTCTGTGATTTGCAACGGATTTATGATTTGCAACGGAGGGGCAGCCGCCCTAGACGTTTGCTTCGCAAATCACTAACTACTGTACTGCCGTATACGGCTACTGTACGGTCCAGCCGTACGTAACCGTATAGGAATAGACTACGGCGAACAACATGCCGTACGTAACCGTAAGCCAAAAACACGGTTTTACAATGGGCTACGGCATACGGCACTGCCGTATACGGCATACGGTAGACTACCGGAAGAAATTGTACAACTTGGACCCTTTCTGTCCTAAGCTCTGGATGAACTTGACGATATCCAGAGAGAGACCCGATTCTGTCTCGGCAGGCGCTCCCCATCCCTGGCCGTGTTGGTATGCCGTCGTGGGGGTGGGGTGACCCCAGCCGGGTGTCGTCGACCACCAGTTACTGGTACTGGTAGTCCCAGCATACTGACAGTTCCACGCGCAGTTATTAACTAAGTAATCTGGACATCCGCTATAGGCGCGTTTTTTGCGACCAGCCAAAGTTGTTGTTGTAGTCGTTGTTGTTGTTGTCGTCGTCGTCGTGGTAGTATCTAGAGTAGAGGACGTGGTAGTAGTGAAAGCACCAGCCGTGGGAGTAATTCCACCACCGAATGGGGGGTTGGTTTTCGGTGTGGTAGCACCAGCTGGAGTGGGTACAGGATAATAAGGTGCGCTAGTAGTCGTAGTACCACTAGTAGTTGTGGGAAAAACATCTATGTTGTCGTGTATAAGCGTTCACGCCGTTTAAGGCTCCATGAACAATCTTTACTCTTCCACGCCTGTAATGCTCAATCGGTAGGCACTCGTACTCTCAATCTGTAACAGAGGAACTACGGTAGGAAAGCGATAAACGATTCAGGAACACGAGTCAGGAATCCCTCAGGAACGAGCTAACCACAACTTCCGGTCGTAAGTCCTGTGAGGATCGGCAAGAGCTAGGACGATTGTGTCACGAGCAAACCTGTATACTAAGCGATAATCCGGGAACAACTATGCACTTCAGTAGGAACAAGTATTGCTGTCTCTTTATCCAATTCACAACACAGTTCACAACGCTAGGAAATTGTAATTAGAAAGCAGTCTCAGCAGTAAATCTCAGACTACTGATTCCGATATTAGTGATAACCAAAACTTATATAGACTTCGCGTTATGACATCATATACATCGCTAGTAAAAGAGAACAGCAAATCACAGCATTGATTGACTAGATTATTCGTTTGTGTTGCAGGTGGAAGGCGGACAGTCAGCATCCGTACGTACATCCGGCGTGTGATCCTACTCCCACACGTCAATGTAATAAATGCAACCGTTCACACTGTGGACGCAGTTAGTGAAACATGTATAATAATCTGATCCGTAATACTGCCGGCTTTGTGGGGCGTCACGTCTGTAGCCGGCAGATATATCAACCTGTTGATTGTAGATAATCTACATGTTAGCCCGTCAGGAAAGTAGATTTTCGTCAATAGATCTGACGAACTGCATCAATAGACCTGCCGACCCGAGCTTATGCATTGTCTATGGGAGCGTCAATAGATCTGCCGAACCCGCACAACAGTGAAACTTGATATCCTTGTCCAGAGCTTGTCGGCATCAACAGCTCGGCCGAGCCTGAACATATGCAGATTAGTGCCGGCGCAGCGCCAGACGCAAAACAGCATCGCTATTTCTGCTGCGCCTTCCTAATATTTCAAATCAGCACGCCTCTATTCTGTGAATGCAGAGTGCAAACGTCTCACAATCAGCGCAAAATTAAATTTGTAATTTTCTCTCACCAATAAAAGTGGGGCACAAAGCTATAATTTCAAAATGCAGGACTGCCTGTCGTCTGAAATGCCATAAACAGAACAATTTTGATTGTACCGTATCTAGCGGCATTGATCCGCTAATATCGAGTACCGGAACATCGATATACAGATAGTTTTTCAACGTCCACTTACGAAAAATGAGATTAATGGGTATGTACCAAGCACAATTCAAACAGGGACCGGACGCCACTGTGCTGAACTACAGGACAGTACATAAACAATATCTTCAATCTAGTACATACAGCACACGAATAAACTTCTAAATCTATATAATAAATTTCTATATGGACACTTTGAGAAGCGGAACGGCGCAATTGCTACATTTGCTGTTGTGCTCGAAATGTCAACTTTCTTACATGCGGAAAGAAACGAGTGGATGCCCGTCAACAGGTCTGACGAACTGCATTGATAGACCTGCCGACCCGAGTCTATGCTTTATCTGCGGAATGGTAAACAGATCTGCCGAACCGGCACAACAGTGAAACTTGATACCGTTGCAAAGCGCATGCCGGTAACAACAGTTGGGCCGATCTGCAGCATCCCATTGTTATAGGTACAGCCGCATGGGCCTATTGTGCCAGTTGTAAAACTTGCAAAGGTGACGTGTTTCACTGTTGTGCCGGTTCGGCAGATGTATTGACGTTTCCATAGACAAAGCATAGGCTCGGGTCGGCAGGCCTATTGATGCAGTTCGTCAGATCTATTGACGAAAATTAGGCAACCGAAAATACCAAAATCCTATATTAGGCAACTGAATATCAGTTTACCGGTAAAGCATCGTTTTATGTAAAATTTTAAGCAAAAAACGAGAGTTATGGGTTTCGTATGTGTAAGCGAAAACACGGCAGAAAAGTGATCGCGCTGCCTCGTTAAGGTCATGTCATTGGGTGCGCATGCAGAGGTCATATTGACAGGTTGAGATTAAGCGGACTAATTTTTACTTTGTATGCATTACACTAAATAACAGAATATTAGAATAAAAATATGAGAATTTTAGATAGATATTCATGGCATGCGTATTGCCTATTGCCAAATAAAAGATTGTATATAACTCTTATGGGATAAAAATTGTTAGTTATGCTGACTAATGGCGGCTACGGAAGCAGCGGGGTATTAGAATTTAGAAGCCACTAATCTTAAAATTTGGAATCATAATAAGTCATTATCATCTTACAGGTCAATCCCACAATAGAGTAAACATATAAAAAGTTCTCTACTCAATCCTTTAGGCTGGATAAAGTACTTTACGCTGAATGAAGTGTATTATGTACTGAAATAATGTACTACGTGATTTAGCGTTTAACCAATTTTCATTTGCGTAAACCAATAAAAATTCCTTTTCTTTACTCAGTTAGCTTTCCACTAGTTATGCAACTAGATTTCACTTCCCGTGATGTTTTTCAAACTCTCAAATAAATTTCAAAAAATTTAGAATTTGAAACAAATTTAGTAATGCTGATTTGGTCTGAAAACGGTCTTTGGGATTATAAAGTGCGTTTAACGTTTTTATAAAAAAATTTGAAGAGGAACGGTTGATAATGCGAATTGTTGATAATGGCTGATAATGTTGGTAAACCACTCTGCGCTTAAGCTTCTGCAATCTATTTCAGAACCGGATATTGCGCCCAGGCAATTTTCAATAACTGGTATTTTACACTTGCACAGTACGTCTGGATATATAAATGAAATATATATGTACAGCTCTGTACGCAATAAAGCGCTTTTGCGAATAATATTATTGCGAGTTACACTTAATTTGATTGTGAATTATATACGTACAAAATAATAATATAAGTACGATGGGACAACATAAGTGATATAAAACGACAAGCAAAAGTTTAGAAAATTACTTAGCGGTCAAATTTGCAATTTTGCTCGAAAAAAATTTTGTTTTGTGAAAGAGGAAAACGTGGAACTTGGTCAATGTGTCACTCGAACAACAAGGCCCCACAACCCATGCCAATGCGTTTTCTATGGGGACCTCAATAGATCTGCCGACCCAGAGTCGGTGTAACATTAGTGAAACTTGATATCCTTGTCAAGGGCTTGCCGGCATCAACAGTCCAGCCGAGTCGGTCTATGCATAATGCACTGGCTATGGCAGGATCAGTAGATATGGCGAGCGCGTGCGGACGCTCAGATCCTGTCCGATCGAATCTTTCTAATGCTACGATGTTGATAACTACACTGTTGATAACAATTTGTAATCCAGCCATTATGTTTAAAATATGTAAGCCATTATTTCTTTGGTTACGCATAGCATCAATCAAAACCGTTACAGTGCCGTATATTATGCAATATAGCGCATGTTTTTAGATATGATTTGCTTCCGTTTTATGTGTTTACGTTTTCATTTCGCGGTAATATTGTAAAGAAGTTTTGGTAGTTTTAGAACAAAATTGTTATCGATTATTTGTCCTAGCGACAGTGCATTAAGGTGCTATTAGTATCAGTAACATTTGTAATACATATTAAAGGAACTGCAGCAGTTGTACCACAACTAAATATCTTATATACTGTATAAGCATGGATAAAAGAATTACACTCTAATTTGCGATGATGAACTAGTTCCAGATTCCTGCATTCAGCAATACAAATTACATTGTATTACCGCTTGTACTTATGCCTATACGGTCGTATCTCAAACTGCACCACGCCCGACAGTCGATGCCGGCGTGCTCTTCACAAGGATATCAAGTTTCGATCACTGTCTCTTGTGCGGGTTCGGCAGATCTATTGACGCTCCTATAGACAAAGCATAGGCTCGAGTCGGCAGGTCTGTTGATGCAGTTCGTCAGATCTGTTGACGAGAATCTACTTTCCTGACGGGCTAACATGTAGATTATCCACAATCAACAGGTTGATATATCTGCCGGCTACACATGTCGGCTGCGATGCGCGCCGGACC